TTGTTTCTTAATGGATAATATCATTAAAAAAGTTCAAAATTATCATGGATATTTCAAGAATTGTAAAACCATATCAGAGTTTGCAAAAAAAAAAAAAAAATCACTAGTAGAGTATTTTGTTGAAACCCTGGTTTAACGGTTTCGTACAATTAAAAATCGTCTATCAGTTTAGACTTTCGTATGAGGTTTTCTGGTCAGACGGCTGGTACGGTTTTACAAACACTAGAATATTCCATTCTTTTTATTGGACAATTTTGATCTAAAGATTTTATTTCGTTAAAGTTGACTCTTAGCGCGTTGACTGCTGAAGTGTTAGTTTCACCTCCATTAGATCATATGTTAAGTCTAACCGTCCGTGAAATTTTGATTACATAAATGATATTGACCCTAATAATTTAGGATATAATTGATTTGTTTTACATTATTCGTGGGGCTATTTAGGTAGGATGAGTGTTTCCATCACTTTCTTCCCTAATGAGGACAAGGCCACAAAAAAAAAAAAAAAAAAAAAATTAATAACGATTCAACTTTTTTCTAAAGTTCAACACGATTTTGGCTAAGTATGGATTCCCAAATTACTAATCCCTCCATGAATCACGTATTTTTTAATGACTCTCAAGAACAAGTTGGCCGGTGGTGAAAATTTCTTAGCCATGTCGACAACCCAAATTTTCATAATTTTATTCTACGAGCAGAACCAAAAAAAGAAAATTATGGTTGAGCAGAACCAATTTGAATGAGAGTCTTTAAATCTTTGTCATTTGAGTTGACAGATTATCGTGGCAGGAGAGGACGCAATTTTGTCTCTCTTTTTTGCTTGATGAATGTCGCGTTAAAATTTTGAGACAAAACATAGAGATGCAAATGTATTTGGAAAAGAAATTGTATATTTCTCTCTTCGCTGTAGCATTAAAAATTATGATATTTCTCTCAATGATATATAGCTTAATAGCTGTTATATACAATAAAATAGTCAGACATTTTACTAACCAATTTTGTGTTCATCTGATGGGCGTTACACTTAATTTGTTTATATTTTCTTTTATTATATGTAATCTTCTAATGGCGTCGGTCTTTTTTTATACTTATTTATTCGTATTTATTATTAAAGTTTCATCTAATTGAATGATCGTTACAACTAGTGTGTGCTTGACCAGGAGTAGCATTTGTCATGTCGAATTATTTTCCACAATCGAATGAAGTCGAATTTCAACCTAGTTCTCCATTTGATGAATGTATAACTCAACAAACTTAAAATCTGCATTTTTCAGTTTAGTAAATTGTCCAATCGATGATAATGTCTCCAAATTAAAAGTGCGTATAACTTGTGTTCATCCTTCAAACTGCAATCGATCTTACTATCCACTAAACTTAAGCGTACCATTACATAGCTTAATACTCTCTCAAAATGCTTTGTAATTTTGCTATTTGACTCTAATTAACCTTAAGAAATTAACGAGGTTCTCAAGTGACAGAAGGTTTGACTTCCCTTTGTTTACAACAAAGTGAGGCTTTTGGAGTGATGTAATTCTTTTTTTGGTATTTAATTTTCATTTTTGACATAATAGCAATACAACAGTGACATTTACTTGAAGGAGATCTAAGAGTGAAAGATAGATATATTTGGCAACTACGTACCCAAGAAATAAACATGGCTTAGATAAACAAAACGATTCGAATTGCATCTCTTGGGCATCTAATCAAGGTATAGTTGAAGTCCTCAACGGTTAAACTCGGTTTAAAGAATACGTAATTCTGCATACACCTAGGCGCGTCTAGGCACTGGGCAGTGAAAAAACGCCTCGCCTTGGTACTAGGCAGACAATTAGGCATTCATAATTCCTAAGCGATGCTTAGGCAAAAATGAGCGTGATTAATCGGAGTGAGGCGTGATTAATCAAAGTGAATCATGCTTATAAGCACTAGTAGACCATGAATTAAAAGAGATGTAGCTAATCTTCCCAAAACAACGCCATCTCTAACTGCCCTATATTCAACGTATGCTTCACTCATTTCTCGTTTTGAATTGCAATTCTAAGTCATGATTTATTTTAATAATCATAAGGGCTAGCTATTTATTAATATTTGAAATTGAACTAAAGTAAAAATGTGCTATAAAATTGTAATTTCTACGAAAAAACACTACTTTTGCTAAAATGCCTAGGTGTCACCTAGGCAATTCTTAGGCATTCTAGACACTAGACAGTATCGGGTGCCGCCACAGTCGCAATCCTCCCAGCACATCTATTTGCTCATACTGAGGTTAATGTTACTCTCCCATGTCGACCTCTCGAATCCACCTTGGAGCTTCTGGAAACTGTCGTCATTCCTCCGCCGAAACTCAGGGCCCTTCCACCGCTGGCAACCCTTCTCCATCCCTTTCCCATTGCACCCCCCGCTGCTGGCTATTTCACCGTCTGAGATCAAGCCCGGAGACCAGTAGAATATCCCCGCCAAGAATCCCAAGCACAAGTAGGTGAATTTCTGTTGGTCCGGAGAAGCGGCGGCTGTGAAGGTCAAATAATCGCCATCGAGATCTATGACGCGATGCACCGTGGCCACGTTGCGGAGGTCCAGATTCTGGAACCGATCGGGGGCCAGTAGTTTGCCGTTGCTCCAGAACGCCCAGCGACGGATCCAGAACACAGAAGTGTACTGGGCCGCATTTTATTAGAAAATTAGAATAGTAAAAAAATATAATGATTATAATTTTTTTACAATGTAAATTGTACACGACGGTATTTTAATTTAGCGAATGCATTAATAATGGAGTCCACATTCATACCAATAGTATACACTGTTTCAAATAAAATACTTGAGCAATCGACTAGAAATCCATAGCTCATTTTGTTGCGCAAATCAATTTTCACATGTTTCGTTGTTGAAAAGGTTCTATTCGTATTAGTTGTTGAAACGAGGAGCATCAACACTAGACAAATCAATCTACTAATCAATTTGCATTGTGTTTCCATCCCTATATCCACCAGCTGCTCTAGTAAATTTTCCAAGGTAACAAACCTCATATATGTTTTAGTCTTTTACGTTATAAACATTTTGAATTTTTAGGTTTCATTGTTTTTTTAGACGAATAACCTTTGGGGTTAGAATTTATAAGCTAAATTTAGAGTAGTGATTTTGAATATGTTCATCTGAATTATTTTTCTAATTATACCCAATCTTATTTTAAAATAACAACGACTCGAATATCTAAAATCGAAAAAATTCATAAGGCCTATACTAACTATGGATCCAGAGGAGGGCTGGGCCGGGGCCCGGGGTGGCCACCCCCTGGATCCGCCACTGAGAACGCCTCACCTCGCCGTTTCACCTTCCCCGAAGGTGAGGTTGGGTCGAGTAGGGTATGAGTTTGTAGAAAAGAAATTAGGTTTTTTATTTTTATTTTTTAATGAATGTAATAATGAGGTGGAAAATATAAATTTTTTATTTTATTTTTAATCATTTGTTAGTTGTCATGTCACTAAGTTAACGGTCAACTTTGAGAGTTGACTGCCACATCAGTCAAAGTTAACGGAGTTGTACGGAGAGTGACCAAACGTGAATGGTTTCAGTAAACTGAAGTACCACCAATGGATTTAAATATTTAGAGTGATCAAACTTGAACGTTTTTTGTAATCTCAGTGACCAACCATGCAATTAACACGGATAACAAATAATATTTTGAACCTGAGTAGGTTGAGAGAATTCAAAATACGTAAAAGCGAAGTGAATTTTTCTCAATTTTTTGGAAGGAAAAATTTAATTATTGTGAAGATTGTTGGGAGCAGTTTAGGTGAATGACCAAGGTTTATGCACAATGCATACCACTCCAGCATAATTTTCTGTTAAGAGAATTTATAAAAGGAAAGAGATGTGCAACTAATTTTTTTAATCTTCAAGGAATTATATCTCATTCATTAACTTGATTTTTACCATAAAAGTTGAATTAATTATACTACAAAATGACATTCAATATGATATACTTAAGAACGAAATGTAAACTTATTTAATACGAATAAGGACTTGGTGTAGTGATAATACCATTAGTTTTGAACTTGGAGGTCCCAAGTTCAACTCTTAAGTAGTACTTAATGTAAAAACTCAACCTAAATCACCCACCCTTATAAAAAAACTCATTTGATAACATGAGTACTAATTTTATTGTGCAAAGTCACATCAAACATAAATTTACCCTACTGGTTGAATGCGTTAACTGATAATAACTTGGACTCACAGGTCATAAGTTCAAATCTTAGTGATGATGAGTATATGTTTATTTCGTTTCGCATGAATTTCAACTCTAAAACAATTATAATATAAGTTAATATGTGAGAGTTTTGTTTTCCTTCAAGACAATTTGGGTAGAATGTCATGAATGAATTTCAAGGGACAAACCTTTATAATAATATGACATAGTTCAAATCTTAGTAATGATGAATATATGTTTATTTTTAGTAAACCTTTATAATAATATGACATGGAAACTTGTGGATCTTACTCGATCCTACTTGGCATAATGTTACTCTAAAACAATTATAATATAAGTTAATATGTGAGAGTTCTGTTTTACTTCAAGACAATTTGGGTAGAATGTCATGCATGAATTTCAAGGGACACGTGCCTAGGCTTATCGTTCTTTTATTTGTATAACGGTCTATATCAACCAATCAAGCATGAGAAATCCTAATGAGACTCATTTTCTATAAATACTAGGTATGTATTTCTCAGTTTTTACATTCTAAATGATAACTTTTGTTTATAGGTATTATCCCGAATTATCTATACGTAATTTCGAGCTTCTCGAGGGATTTTCACATCTTGATGGTTGTTATAGCTTCGCCCCCGAGGTGCTTGTCTTATTTGTGTGTTGTTCACCATGTCATGTCATTCTACATCCGTTTTATCTTAAATTTCTAAAATATTCTTATGTTCAAACTTCAAACCATTTTGACTACTCTACGAAATAATATTGTTACAATTTAGCGTGATTATTCATTTCACTTGTCATGTCATTTTTTTTACTCGCAAATTTGAACTTAAGGTATGATAGATGTTCTCATTCCTACATCATCACTAGACCAAACCACTCTTGCTGCTCTATCACGGACACTTTGTTCTCAATATATCTTCTCACCAAGATTACCTAATACATACAAAGAAGCCTCTTAGTCTGAAGAATGGAATGATGCAATGAGACATGAAATTAAAGCCCTCCTTAAGAATAGGACATGAGATGTAGTTGAGTTGCCTCCTGGCAAGAAGAACATAGGCGACATGTGGGTTTACAAGTCCAAGTTTGAATAAGATGGGGCACTGGACAGGAGGAAGGCCATATTAGTGGCTAAGGGTAATACACAACAAGAAGGGGTGGATTATTACTTATTAGTATACTTTTGCTCCAGTCATCAAAATGACTACCATTAGAACCTTCTTTGTCGTTGCAGCAATGCGCAACTAGATGTAAACAATGCATTTTTCCATGGTAATTTGCACGAAGAAGTCTACACGACATGACCTAAAGGATATGACCCCCCTCCAAGTTTTGTTAATCATGTTTGTCTCCTCAGAAAGTCTCTCTATGGCTTAAAATAAGCTTTTTGCCAATGGTTCTCCAAACTTACAGACAAGTTGCAGGCAGTGGGATACATTCAGAGTTTGGCTGACCACTCTTTGTCTTACAAAGTCACAGTTCAACCTATACATGCATTCTCATTTATGTTGATGATTTGGTGGTAGGTGGGAATGATCTTACAAAAATCCAATCATCAAAACAAGTTCTACATTCTTAATTCAATATCAAAGACTTGGGGGTTCTGCAATGTTTCTTATGCATTGTAGTTGTCAGAAATAATAGAGGGATTCATTTATCACAACGGAAATACACATTGGAAATTCTTGAAAAAACATGTGTACTTCATTCAAAATCAGTCTCCACTCCTATAGATTACAAATTACATCTTAGCAACGACATGGACACTCCTTATGAAGACCCTGAACGTTACATGACCCTTGTTAAGAAGCTTATTTACCTCACTACAATAAGACCATATATCAGTTTTGCCACTCAACAGCTTAGTCAATACATGTCTAATCCCAGTACCACTCACTACAAAGCTGTCTTGCGCATTCTAAGATACCTTAAGACAGCTCCTGCTACTGATCTTTTCTTTCCAAGCCATGGTTCCTTTTAATAAAAAGCATTCACCGATTCAGATTGGGTGGCTTGTGTTGACACACGACGCTCAATCACAGGTTGTTGTGCTTACCTCGATGACTCCTTGATTTCTTGGAAGAGCAAGAAACAGCTGATGGTTTCCCATTCCTCTTGTGAGGCAAAGTATCGAGCCTGGGCTTATATTGTTTGTCAAAGTACAATGGCTCCTTTATCTTCTTCGTGATTTTCAGGTTGACCATCCCAAGCCTACTCTGTTATACTACAACAATCAGAGCGTCATCTATATTTCCTAGAATCCGTAGAATCCGACTTGAGCACATCAAGCTCGATTGCCATCTTGTCCGTGAGAAGCTTCAATCTGGAGTCCTCAAGTAACTTCATGTTTCTTCCCGTTACCAACTTGCCAATATCTTCACCAAGCCCCTTTCACCAGCCCCTTTCCTCCATGCTTGATATGCATAATTTATGGCCACCAACTTGCCGGGGGGGGGGGGGGGGGGGGGGGGGGGGGGGGTAACAGAACTTGAACATTGAAATTTCGATTGCAACGGCTACTGTGCCCTTTTGCAAGAATCAGAGAAGAAGAAGAGTCCATACGCAACATTTTGGCCACTTGCAGATTGCTCTTGTGCGATACACAAAGTTTCCTCTCCATGGCGTCGTTCTGCTTATTAAGGGATTATAAGCAGCTGGCTAGTGTTGTCTTGTAGTGCTAGAGCTGCCATATAAATTGTTTTGTGATGAATGGAAATGACCAAGCGATTAGGGTTTCACTTTGTAGATCTGTTGTTACTCTTACAAGCCCTAACGACCTGTTACGCCGGGAAACCAACTTAGGTCCGAATATCGGGTATTCTTGCACCGGCTCTGGGAGCTTCCCCAGTAGCGTCTCTCTTTGCCATCGGGAAACAATTCCGCGATTTCGCCAAGCTGTATGATATAATGGCTGATTCGAGTTCTGACTCTGCGAGCCGAGCACACTCCATTAGGGATTTCAGTAGCATCGGTGACGACAACTCTAATTTTGCTGACGTGGAAGAAGAGGGTCCCCATTTGGTTTTTTATTTAACTTAAAATATTAAGATGCTGAGTTAGCAGTGATATGGCGGGTTGACCGTTAGTCAACGGTCTTGACCTTCAAAACTAACGATCAACTCTCGGATTTGGCCAAATTAGTAAAGTGTAGAGTTAGTTCAGGTCATGATGTTATATAGAAAAATAATTGGCCATGATGTTAAATATGGAAAAGGTTAATATCACACAAACATATTAACCCTTAAAAATACAACAACAAGGACAAAAATAGATAAGTATTGCTTGGAAAATACATCAATAACACATAGGGACTACGTAAAGAAAATGGAATTTATAAACACATCAACAAAACATAGGGAATAAACAAATAGAAAGTAAGGAACACTTCAATAAAACATAGGGAATAAAGATAGATCACATTGCTACTCCCCCTTTTTTTATAATGACGATGATTTATTGAACGAAATGAAATGAACAAAGAGTACATGGATCAAGAGAGATGATCCTAAATATAAAAAGAAGGAGAAAAGATAGAAAATGCAAGAAAGAAAACACTAAAAAAACTCACCTCTAATCCACGCTATATTTTGTCCACAAATGCTCAATCAAATCGTTTTGCAATGCATGATGTCTAGGACGATCATGAATTCTACTATGTCTATGTACTCCATGAGAGTCAAAATGTTAGGATTGGGTGGATCTCATGTACCATTTGGATTACTCTCATATTAATGTTGTCCATTTTGGACCATCCCCATCCTCGTATTCATATCGTGGATCTTTCACTATCACATTGTGCTGAACAATACAAGTTAAGATAATCTCATCCCTTAAACGAGCCGACCATATCATAATGACCCACATTATTGTAGTATGCCAAAAGCCTTCTCAACATCCTTCTAGTAAGTCTCTTGGTACTTTGCAAACAACTTCTTCTTCTAGTTGTTTGATTGCTAATAGTCTTCACAAATGTAGCTCACTCGGTATATTCAAGCATCCAAGTAATAGCATTGATTGTACCTCTTACCATTTACCCCATAACTCACATTCATAAATAGCCCTCGTATTGTTTGATCGAATAGTGGGGATACTCCAAAAGTATTGATTTCACTGTTGGATCCAGGTGCTCCAAAGAAGGCATGTCAAATCCATGTGCGGTACAATGCTACGACTTCAACGATAATAGTTGGTTTCTTCTTGTGCCTAGTGTATTGGTATGTCCACCCGGTAGGATAGTTCTTCCACTCCCAATGCATGCACTCAATTGATCCAATCATTCCTGGAAAGTCACGTTGTGCACCACGATGGAGGCGGTGAGTATCTTCTACTATCAGTGCACACAAGTACTGAGCACCATAAATATTGGTGATAGCCAAGCAAAATTTCCTCAAACACTCTAGTATGGTGTTCTCACCCATTCGACAAATCTCATCCAAAGAGTATGTCGAACATCCATATGCAACCAAACAGTAAACACTAGTAAGCTTTTGATGTGGGGATAATGAGTCACGACCTATAACATCTTTCCCTTGCTTGAAGTAGGAATTGTACTGAAAAACATCATTCATGACTCGGTTGATAAGGTAGGAGGCATCTGATACTGCCTTGTAAAGACCATAATGTGCTAGGTTGGATTGGGGTTGAAATAATCTTGCACCAAGCGTTTGTGACCGTTTTCCTTGTTATGTCTCACTGATTTTTGGATGACTAACTATCGCGAGATGAAGTTGTTTGATGTTGATGAGGATGGTTTGCATACATCATGAACATATATATAAGTTCACGCTCAAGTTGACACTCATACTCCCATTGTCTATCATTAGCTTCTATACGAAGGGAATCCATGAAAGAAAAAGAGTTCGGTGGCTAGAGAAATGTACAAAGGGAAGGTTGAATAGTTTTTTTTTTTTTTTTTTGCAAAGGTTGAATGGTGGATGAGTAGAATGCTCAAGTATGAGGGTTCATTTATAGAAACACGAGATGATTCCTTCTACAATAATATGGTCAAAGTTTGGATAAATAGTTGATGACACAACTCATTATGATTAAAGTTGGATGAATAGCAGATGACACAACTCATTATGATTAAAGTTGGTTAAGTAGTTGATGGCACAACTCAATAAAAAAGGTGGATGATTAGTTGATAACACCACTCAATGTGGCAAACATGTAAGGAATATATGGCTATCCGAACCTATTATTGTGTTTTTTACATTAATAACGTCATATTCGAAGTTAATTTTTTATATACAAATAAATAAATTACATAAAATATTCATCTTAATTAATTATAACTATCCATAAAAAATAATGAGCAAATGATCTAATCAACGTGATGAAATTTATAGCAATGGAGATTAGGACAAAAAGGAAAATTTGAAGCTTTCGGCTTTCTAGAATTCACTAGTGGAGAAAAATTACGTAATAACTTATACCATGATTTTCAAACCTCTGCATTATCAGTCGATACAATCGGGTTCAACTAGTAGCGATACAAAATAGACTGGAATGTCTCGTATGACTAATATGACCGATTTCCAATCTCTAAACAAAATGATGAGTTTTGGTAAATTTAATTAAAAAAAATCATTTGCTTCTTGAATTTGAAAAATAAATTTTGATATTAATTCTTGATTCAAGTATGGAAGTTAGATAGCCCTCCACAATAGACTTGAGGCTGATTCTAGTAAAAGAGGTAACAAATCAAATTAAAAACAGTCTCATCAAACTCTTTCTTTTCTCTCTCTAGAACAATAGTCACAATAGTACCACAGAGACCTTATGCAATGTTCATTTGTAGTTTGTAATTATAGTCACAGAACTCTTAAGGAATTTCTATATGGGTAATGGTATGTTTTACGGTTGTTACAGAATAACATCCATTAACAATTAAAACAAAATCCTAAATAATGCATCCTCTGCCGATAACCTACTCTATTGTTAGACTTCATATTGATGGGCATATCATACATGAAAGCTAATTTTCTGTGAAGAAAAAAAGAAAAAAAAAATAGAGATAGAAGTTATATACCTCTCAGCAATAAAACTTGAAGCAGATTCGGGAAAAGGGAGAAACAAATCAAATCACAAACAGTCTCGTCAAACTCTTTCTTTTTTCTCTTCTCTCTGGAACAATAGTCGTAGCAATAGCACCGAAAATCTTAGGTTCCTCTATAGTTCGTAGTTATAGTCACAGAACTCTCAAGAAATCGTCATAGATGTAAGTGAAAAGTAAAGTAGATTCTTTTATATGAATCAAACACTCTCATTCGAACACTGCTTGAAAATGAATGAGTCTAATAATATCATTTTTCTTTAAGTCGGTCTCAGAGAGCATTGATCTAAAAAAATTCTATAAAAAACATACAAGCAATCGTTGCTCGACAATGCCATGACCACTTGTGTGGCACAATCTTTTTAATTATAATGTATGTAGTTATCCCGATTGTATGTTTTACAATTGACATAGAGAACATCCATTTACTTACAATTAAAACAAAATCCCAAATAAAGCATCCTCTCCCAATAGCCTACTCTAGTGTGGGACTTCATATTGATGGGGCATAACATAGTTGTGGGGTAAGTCCAAAAATGTCACTCATAAGGTAGTGGCCATGGTATCATTGAATACCCACAAACCTCATTTCATGAAATTCAGCGTTTTCTATATTTTCAAACTTCCCCTTCATACCGCGCACTACAACAAGAATCCGTTGATCTAAATTAATATCTTATCGTCCAAAAAATAAATCTTTTTATTCCTATTATACAAAACAATTCAAATACAGACCCGACGTATAGAAGAAGAAAAACCATAAACAAATGGCAATGGGAAAAAAATAGGAAACCCCCAAAAACGAAGAAACAAAACAGAGAACGGCCCAGAGAGAGAGAGAGACAGATCATCATTCACTTCACTCTTCCACAAGTTCCAATCTTTGCCATTCATTCACTTAAACAAAAAAACCTTTCCTTACTGCTCTACTTCTACTCTTCCTGCAGAAACATAATCATCACCATTATCACCGATTCCCTCCCTTCCTTCTCTGCTCTACGCTTCGCCTTTTAGATCTCTGTTCTATACTCTACGGTTGGTATATACAAATGTGAAGCCTCGGGCTTCGAGCGTAACGAGACAAGAGCCCTACCCATCAAAGCGTTTTTGCCTCCTTTTTCATTTCTGGGTTTGGTTCTGCTTATAGCCTAGCTAGCTAGCTGCTGTCCCATTTATAATCATCGGCTGCAGTGTTGATTCTCTATAGCTTTTCCAATTTGGAAGACCGGAGACTGGTTTCCCTGTTTTCTACCAAATAATAACCCATTGGTAGAAACCTAACTGTAAAATAGAATCCGAGGCTATTAGAGAGAGGGCAAGGGAAGGGAAGGGAAGTGTGTTGCTGGGTCCTAGTTGAAGGCGGATTAGCTTTATTGGGTCTTTCGATTTTTGGGTTTCCCTTTTGGTGTGTGTTTCCTTTCTTCATAAAAGGTTTGGCCTTTCTTGCATTTTTTACCAAATGCGACTGGGTTTGTTAAAGGGGGAGAAGGGAAGAGCGTCCAAGGGAGCCTGCTGAGTTTTCTGTTCAGTGTGTGAAAGAACCATTTTTTTTTCTTCTTGTGGCTGGTTTGGAAATGGAAGAAGATAAGAAGAAGAAGATCAATGGTAGTGGTAGTGGGAGTGGGAGTGAAGAATCTACTAAGAAGAAGGAGAGGCATATTGTCACTTGGACTTCTGAGGTTTTCCATTCTATAACTTTGTCCTGATTTTGTTCCTTTCATTGCTGTTTGGGTGCAGAGAAAAGCTGGCTTTTCTTGTTCATATTCTTTTTCTTCTCTTTTGGCCTTTCTCTGGTTGGAAATAATCGGGGTTTATAACTTGTGGTCGGTGCAGGAAGATGATATACTTCGCCAGCAGATAAACTTACATGGAACGGAGAAGTGAGAATCATATGAATGATCCTGTTTCTTCTTCTTTCTATTGCATTTTGTGGGTTTAACCAAGTGTGCGATGTTATGCCTGAATGAGGCTGACAAGCTTGTTCTTTTAATATATTGCAGCTGGGCGATCATAGCATCTAATTTCAGTGACAAAACAACGAGACAGTGTAGAAGAAGGTAAATGAAATGATTACTTCTACTACTGTTTGGATTATGCTCTGTTTAGGTTATGCACTTTCTTGCTTATTTAGGGAAAATGATACTGATGGATTGTACTTCTCATTTTAGTTATTTTTTATAGTGACATCTGATTGATTTGTTACTGCAGATGGTACACATACTTGAATTCCGATTTCAAGAAAGGCGGTTGGTCTCAGGAGGAAGACTTGCTCTTGTGTGAGGTATAACTCAGGAGTGTACATTCCATCTTGATGGAATGAAGTTACTTCATTGGGGAGATCCTGCATTAATATGCCAAGAACTAAATGCTATTTGTATGCTTGTAATCAAAAGTTTAACTCGGTTTTCCCGGAGTTTGCAGATCGTCATGTTTATATTCTCTCTCATGTTATTAGGATTTGAAATAGAGGGTGGTTATCCAGTCAATAATCGTTCTGATCTGATGATTGCAAATCAATTTTGCAGGCTCAACGAGTATTTGGTAACAGATGGACAGAAATAGCGAAGGTTGTTTCAGGCAGGTACGCAACAGTTTTATATCTTTTTCTCTTTGTGCACAGTTCAAATGGAAGATGTTTCTTGTGGTAGTATGCTAATGATACCTCTTATCACAATCAACCATCTGTTTTGGTTTATACAGAACAGACAATGCTGTGAAGAACCGGTTCACAACCCTTTGCAAGAAGAGAGCAAAATATGAAGCATTGGCCAAAGAGAATGAAAGCGTGTTTAGTAAGTCTAACAACAAGAGAGTCTTGTTGGATGACAAGGTGAACACTGATGGAAACCCAGAAATTGCAGGAGCTGCCAAGCGAACTAGGTATCTGAGAGTTTTCTGCATTTCTGGTTCCATGCCAGTTTGCAGCACAGTTGTTGAAGTTTTTGTCTTTGTTCGAACTCAGGAGATCCCACATTCCCGATCAAACAGAGACCCGGAATGTTGGAGATAGATCACACCCTAAACAGGCTAGGGCCCCATTTATGGTGTTGACTCGGGATGCACATAAAGTTAATGCTGTTAATCAGCATCCAATCATCAGTAACAAGGAGGTCTCCCCTGGTGGTAACATTCTTCTTCACAAAAGCTCCCTTCTTTAGTACAATTTAACTTTCTTGATGGCCAGTCAGGTTCTGTTGAGCATACTGGTAGTAATGTTCTTCGGTCCCAAACTTGTTTAGCAGCTCAAAGTGGTAATACACAAGGAACCTTTCTCAAGAAAGATGATCCAAAGATATCAGCCCTGATGCAACAAGCAGAACTTCTCAGCACGCTGGCACAGAAAGTCAATACAGAGAACTCCGACCAGAGCCTCGAACATGCTTGGAAGGTAAAATTTTCCTTCCATCTTGTGAGCTAAACCCTATTCCGTCCATTTCGTTCACTACCAAGGAGCACATTCATTAAACTGAACTTGTTATGCAGATACTTCAAGACTTCCTGAAAAGGAATAAAGGAGATGAGATCCCGAGTTACACGATTTCTGACATTGATATCCAACTCGAGGATTTTAAAGACTTGATAGAAGAGCTAAGGAACAGCAGTGATGGAAGTCATCCATCTTGGAGGTAAAAAAATTGAGATTGATGATTAAGCATTCAGAATGAGCAGTGTGTTGCTACAAAAGAGCTTACCAGTTACCTCAATCAATACAAATGCTGTAGGCGACCTGATCTATATGAAGAATCTCCAGCTAGCTCTGAGTTCAGTACAGGGTCAAGTCTTATGCCGTACTCAGCTCCCGATGCAACAACAGAACAACCCCATGTTGAAATTGAGACGCTGCACAAGGATGTTGCAAGTGATTTGGAAGCCATGCATGTCGAAGGAGAAGGTGTCGAAAGTAAAGGTGACAAAGAACTCATATCTGGGGTTAACATAGCTGAAGGTAAACAACATATTAAGAGAAACAAAGTTGACAAAGTACATTACTTCCTGTCCAATTTAGCCAGCCTATGCTGATGGCATGTGTGAAAATTTTCAGGGGAGCTGTTTCCATCGTTTGAAGACCAAACGAATGATGACATAGTTGTTTCTGCTTCATCAAGTACAGAGTTCGGTTCCCCTCGTCATGTTACCCCATTGTTCAGATCCTTGGCAGCTGGAATTCCTAGTCCCCAATTTTCAGAAAGTGTGAGTTGTTATACAATGACAATTGATTCTCTTCATTATAACTGCATCAGGTCATCTCCTGTCACCTAAATCTGTGGGATATATGCCTCACGAGACTTAAACACTTCAATATTAGGTCAGGCCACTAAGGTCATCTAGGTTTGAGAATGTCATTAGTTGGTTATATAAGGGGATTTTGATATTGGGAGCTTGGTATATATGTTATAAGAGGCAGTAGTGCTGGCACAAGGTCGGTGAAGTATCATCTAAAAGGTTTATGATCAAAGGACTCCTAACCCTAGTCTTGGTTCCTAATGGTTTTATTAAATGTGATTAGTTTCTCGTATAGATCTAGACTCAACCTAGATTGAATGTGATAAGACCATCACTTTCTTAAGGCTATAGCAGAACTGAGAGTGAAAACGAATTTCTTCCTCCACCCAACAAAGTCTAGCCTAGCTCAAGCAGTGTAAATGCTGTTATAGTTTTCACGATATCCTGTATACACTTCCTCTGCTATAATGCAAGACTTGTGGCTCTTTCTCATCCTCCTCTCATTTTGGTCTTGCTGATTTTCAGGAACGAAGATTCCTACTGAAAACTCTTGGAGGGGAGTCTCCTTTCCCTAATCCAACCATCAATACTTCTCAACCACCTCCCTGCAAAAGAGTCCTCCTCCAAAGTTTATGAGATTGAGAATCTCCATCATCAATCTCATATGAACAACATGGACTTCCCCGCTCCTAATATCTTTAGTCATCAAATAGAGAACATGGCTTCTCACCTGAAAATGGGGGGAAATCTGGTCTACCCTAAAACAGTCATTCTACCTATTTTCTCTACTAGGGATACAGCTATCCTGGACGAAGTTTTATCCGTCGGCATGTCGAGAAAACTGCATCCAAGACCCCAGGTCTAGAATGTGAAGGATGCATTCTAGCCAGCTCAGGACACATACATAAAATGTGACTTGAGTACAATTTTTCATAGTACTGGAGGAGAGTGCTACCATGGAAGAAAGGCGCCTCCCCTGTGATTGCTAATGGTGTGATATTCTTTTGATTTTTGCTGCTTGGATTTTGGTACATGGGTTACCGCAGATCCAGTTTTCGGCCTTCGATTCATCATCATCATATGTACAGAAATCTTAGTACTGGTACTATATATATGCCTGTAGTCAAGAGTGTAATTAGACATCGGCATCTCGCCTATATGAGTAGAGAAGAAACATAGAAAAAGAAAGGAAATGAAAGTAAAGGAGGATTAACCAGCTGATTGGATTCCTATTTGTTGTTTTTGGTGTGCATAGGGTATAGAATAAGTTTTTAGTTGCCCGTTTTTCTTTTTTGGTTGGTCTTCCTTTACCTGAATTCTGATGTAACAGAATAGAACCTTGGTGGGATTTGGAAATGGAAATGTCTTCCTGGTTTTGGTGTGCATGCTTCTTCTTCTCTTCATCAAAATTCTCATTACAAAGTTTTTTTTTATATATTATATCTTTACTGCAATCAAACTCAGAGCAGGAAGAAGATTGAGACTGCAACATGGCTCACTTTACGAACAAGAAGATCGAAACATTCAAATGTAAGTTGTTACAACCGATTTACCTGACTGAGGTCATTTCTCCATGTCCTTGCTCTCTTGTGTCCCATGAAACCAGAATCTTTGTCCTTCTGCTTGAAGAGAAAGATGGAAGAAAGAGCTTACTCCTCTTGTGCTACAGAAATGGGATTTGGTCACTAAAAAGCAGAACACTTTGGCCAGAATCTCTGCTCTCCCATCCTTCTCTCTGCATTATTCCTGAGCTTTGCTTCTATGGGAAAGGCCTGTGGGAGGAGAAGTGAAGAGAGTGTCCTTGTGGATTCTGTTATGTAGGAAGGGCTTGTTAGTGGTGGGTGATGGTGGAGGACAAGTGTAATCATTCATTTTGGCATAGCTAAAGCAAAGAGGGAGAGGGAACCGCATACAAATTAAAGCTTTTACTCATTGATTGGCCTCTCTCTACTTTCTCGAGAGAAGGTTTCGCCCCAAGTTGACGATTTTGACTATCTCTAGTCTTGACCTTCATATATTACACTTGAACGATGTGATATCTGAACCACCAAGTTATCCTTCCTGGTCACCTGCTTCATACATGGAAACATGTACTTTGCTGCAAGTTCAATTCATATAAGAAATACCATCAACTTAATTTGGGTATACAATCACGTGCAGATGTAAGCTGCAATTATGCGTTTGTGCTCGTCAATAATATAGTCAAAATCATGCTTTGAAAACTTACGTTTTTGCATTTTAAGTTTATCAAAACGCTTCTATCTATATTTAGATGATTTTCCCTTACTGTAGTCAAAATCGTACTTTAAAGTTTAAAAGCGAATCTAAATCACCAAACGGTTTTGGACTAGCCCTGGTCTGAAATTCTGCACTTAATTACCAGGGTAGTTGCAACTTGCAATGATCAATGGCTTATTGGCATTTCGGTGGTTTTTTAAAGTTGAAAAAGTCCCCACTATAACAAATTTATGATAACAACCACAAAAAGGGGAAGGCCAAGTGGTAGCCAGGCTTTCTACAGCTCTTTTTTAACTGGCGATGGTGAAAAGCATCTTCTTCCTCATAACAAAACCATTACCGACAGGCTATCAGAACTTCAATTCTCTGTATCAATGAGATGTATTCAATTTCAGTTACACTTGGCCGTAATCTAGTTTTGGTTCTACACTTCACGGACACTAGACTAACACTGATAATGTAACAGGGCAGTGATGACAAAAGGTAGAAGAAATTGGAAAGAAAAGGTGTATCTCCAAAACTGTAGAAGTCTAACTGCTTCAATTGTTCTTTCTCTTCTTCTGAACTTTCTGCAACTTCCTCCACTTGAGAAAGATCTGGTATGATAGACCAGAGAAGACCATGGCCACCGACCCCCATTGCTTCGTCGAAAGAGGGTTGCCACTTAGTACGGACGAAACCACGATGCTCACGAACTTGCGAGTAGTCGTGATGGTGGTGTTAGCGAGTGATCCGAATCGGCTTATCGTTAGAAAGATGAAGTTCTGGCCCACTGCACCACACAGGCAGTAGTACAAGATATCCCATGCGGCCTCTGGGTGCTGCTTGCAGAACTGGACTGCGTCATACCCCATGCCGTATGGCCAACCAAACATGTAGACCATGTTGTAGATGGTACCCCACAAGTTCATCCCCAACATTATGTCCCATGCGGTGGTCTTTGGATACCTGTAAATAATACAGGTCGTAGTTGAGACATAAAACGTAATATGTATGATTTGGAAGCAATCAACTTGATAGGGTGTGTTTGTTTTGGCAAGCCTTTAACTGTACCTTGCTGTAAGCGAATCCTGCGTCGCATTTGTGAATCCATCAAATGCAAGGTTCAAGAAGCAAAGTCCATACCCAAGAGGTGCATTTGGATGAGCCAGCTTGCTAATGGTCTTTGAGCTAGTCTGAGATTGCAAAGATCCAGCAACCAGTATGAGAAGGTGAGAGAAGCAGCATGACATTCAGCTTTTCATAATAGCGTAACCACTAATATGGCTCCTAAGAACTTAGCAGTGATAATTTCTCACCTTCAAAAGTGCAAATGTAGATACACCTCCTGCAACGAGGAAAGAACACAAGTACTCTGGAAGTGTGTATCTTATGCCATATACTAGACTCCCCATGAACATAACTGTATCAAAGGAAACAGCCTCTTAGTTGAAGGAAACTGTCACGTTTGATCTTATTTTTCATTTTTGGGAGTGCAAATCGGATTCTTATGAGGGGACGGGCAATTTCGGAATATGAGTTGGACGGGCAATTTCTGAAACCAGAACAGACTATGTAACAGAAAGTTTCACATGGTACGAAAGAAGTCTCACCTGGAATCATTTTTGATGATTTTGCAAGAACCTGCAATAACGATGACCATCATCACAAGATGAAACAAAGTTTGATGGCAACATTTCCTGAAAAAGACTACGCAAAAGCCATTCCTAGGACCATGAAATTGATGTAGCCTTCATAATAACCAAGTAATTGAAACCCATAAAGAGGACTAGACTGCAAAACAATGGTTGTGAAACCATTAACATAGGCCACTTCAGCTTTTTTTTTTCTTTTCTTCCTAAACTGTATTGTACAGAGCCAACGCAGCAGCCGTAAAGGATCCATCACAAGGCAGTTCCAACAGCGTGCTAGAAGAGCTTCTCATTCTTTCTATGTTCTATCCAAGTAGCACATTTCCAAATTCCAATCATAGGAAAATGCATAAACTTTTAGAGAGAAGAAAGAACTTGCCTGAGCTGGATAACTGATGTACTTCAATGCTTCAATTCCCATAGCTGGGCCAATCGTATTGGTAATGCCAGCGCTCCAGTATGACCACCAGGGCGCACCACCACCGCTGCTACTAGACCACATCTTTATCACTGCAAAACTCACAATAAACCCAAATTTTCAGCTCCGAAACCCCACCTATCTCCCTTGACATCATAAAAAGAAAAGAGAGCAGGCAAGAAATGGAGAAACTCACTCATGAAAGACCAAATCAAGCAGACCACACTCTGTGCCAGATTAAGAAACGCCAGATGCTCAAACCGCTCCCCATCAGGACCAAAGCGCTTGGTGGACCTATTAGCAGCAAGTAAAAGAAACCCCTCAAGCATTACACTTCATCAAACCCTAGTTCCAATCACTCCATTACAGAATCCCAAATCCCGATCCTTCACTCGCAAAACTAATCGACATTGCTCCCAATTTTATATTATTTTTTTCACTCCCCCATTTCCAATTCCTCGCACAAGTTCAAATCGCATGAAAAAGGTTGGGAATCATTTTAGGAAAGTTCGAAGCAGCTTACAGAGTCTCCTGAAGCACTCCTTGGTATATGTAAGCCGCCCAGATCCCGGCGATGCAGAACGCCAACAGAATCACGCGGCGTAACCCGGCGCCGTGTGCCTCCATTCTGCCGCCGCCGGACACCGAAGATCCGGTGATCCTCTCCGCGATCTTTCTGCTGCGGAAATATCAGAGGACCGGTAGCGACAGGAATGAACCCAGGATCGAAGCTCAGAGAAGGGTTGACTCGCGAAAAATGTTTACCACTAACTACACACTTCAACGGCCAAACGGCGAAGCTTTTGTCCCGAGGCTTCAAGCGCGAAGCTACGTCGACGTTCCCACGTGGAGGGCTCTTATTGGGTCGGTGACTTCACCAGCGTATCCTCATTGGCTGCAGGGACGCGGACTGTTTTCGTACCAAAAAAGCGTCGTTGACGTTTTGCCCCACTGGTGGTGGGGTTGTCGGATTACAAGTTGCCGTTTCTCCCGGTGACTCTAGCAACTCTCTTGGGCTCAGAGGAGCTGTAAAAGTTGGCTGGGGATTTACTGGACCCAGCCCATTTATTCCTTGGCCCATGCAACGGGTAGCTGGTTGGTATGATATGTTGGGCCGAACAAGGCGGTTGAAAAAAAATTGAAATGTCTACTCTACTACTAAGAAACTCGTTTGACACTCGATTCGTTAATTAATGAGGCAGCTCACGAACATGCTCATTTGTTAACTAGTCGAACTTGGTGTAAAATTGGACTTCCAGTTCCACTTGCAAACCCGGTTCCTAAGACCGACTGTCTTACAATTATCCAGAAGTTGGTTGCTGCTGAAGTGGCCATGGAAGACGGAGTTATCTACAGAAGCATTAAAAGGTACCTGGTTTGTTGCGGTCAAAGCTCATTGAGGCACGTCACTCGTACGGGGTAATGAAGCGGTTCACATTATGACTCATGCTGAGACACACTAGAATGAGAGTATTGTCTGGGTAGACATGCCCTCTATCTTCTTAGTTGATCAATTATTACTCGACAATGTAACTGGAATTGGAAATCAATAAAATCCCCTCAAGGTTCCTATAAAAAAATTAACTAGTTGAATTTGAGTTGGTCTTGTTCTAATTAATGGATTGGCGGACGAACTCGATAAATTACACATACAAGGAAGTATGTATCAAATTTATGATGAGTTATTTGCTTAATGACTTACAAATTTATTGGTTATAATAATTAATTTTTTTATATATCATAAGGACTTTAAAATATTGTTGATTTAGTTGAGGGCTCAGACGTATGCCAATTTGGTTCGTTGAGCACACTTGCATATCGTCAGAACCAACCTTGAGTCTGGCTCATTGACCTAACTTACGTACGAAGCTAAACTCAAGTTACAATTTTCACATATGGTCCAATTTGGAGCTAGGCTTCTCAAACTCATTTTGAGTCTTGATCAAGGTTGGCTCGACTTATTAGCAGCTCTAATAATGAACACTGTAACGCATGAATTAGTAGTTGATTAAGCTCCTCCTCCTAGACAATCGAGCAAAGTAAGGAGCATTCTTCTTTGGATAGAAAGTAACGAGCTTTTAAAATCTTGTATCTAAAGGGTGCACTTCAAAAGAAGTGTTCTGCCGCATTTGGCTTGATGATGTTTTGCACTCGTTAGATTAGTCAACAGTCAAACACGAGTATATATTGATTATGATTGTATATAAAAAGGTAATTAAGAAAGGCATGATTAAGGACAAGAGAATGATTATCTCTGGCAAATAATCACATGCGTGGATTTGATGACAAGTCTTTTGACTTTTGGGGCTGCGGGATGGAATTTCAATAGTGTGTGTGCAACTGTGCATTAGATTAATTGAGTATTTTCTTAAGAATTATTGGAGTATTAAATCAAAGAGAAGCAATTAATTCTCATTCAATCCCAAAAGCCAAATATCTATGTGATCAATGGGAGACAGACACGATAGGGTGTCCACCTCATAGTAGTGTGCTCATTGAAACTATTAATGACAGAGTAGACATTTTTAATTTTTTTTCGTAGAATAGACATTTTTAATTTTGAAAAAAGTAAACTTATATTAATTACACCTTGTATTAATTAACCGTGGCTGAAACAGCCAATCCCCAACTATTTGTCCCCATCACCCCCCAATCACCGAGGAGCAATGAGAACCACATGACAAATAGCTATTCGCGTTGTTCGGAAAAATCACTCCACCAATCAAGGCAATGAGATAAACCCAGACATACCACTCCAATTAGGGATGGCAATGGGTCGGGTTGGGTCGGGTTTTGCCAAACCCAAACCCAAACCCATGGGTTTATCTTTGAAAAAAACCCGGGGTAAAACCCATTGGGTTTGAAAAACTCAAACCCAACCCAGCCCGTTGGGTATCCGCGGGTTCATGGGTACCCACGGGTTTTGTCGTAAAAAATTTACAATTACAAGTTCTTATCAAAATTAAAGTAAAATATCAATCTCTCAATACAAATTATCCATATATAAAACACCATTCTAGAAGATTCAAGCAAATCACAAATTAACTATACAAATTGTTCAACGCCAATCTAGAAAATTGAAGCAAATCACAAATTATCCATAAATAACATGTTTAATTGAAAGCTTCTTTCTCTCAATTAAGTTTCTTTACTCTCCACTCCATAACATCAACTTCATTCTACACAATTGAAAAGAAAAAATTAGACATGTCTACACAAACATAAATAAGAATAGTTGTTTAGAATATTAAATATACCGAAAAAATTAATTATATGGGTGTGCGGGTACCCACGGGCCGGGTTTACCTAAACCCAAACCCAACCCAAACCGGTGAATAGTGAACGGGTTTAAACCCAAACCCGGCCCTAAACCCGTCAACACGGATTTTACCCGCGTTGACCGGGTTGGATCGGGTGGGTACCCATGGGTTCGGGTTTTGTTGCCATCCCTAACTCCAATGCTTCTTCTTGGGTGAATGCATTCAACTCAACCTTTGCCATTATATGATCAACGAGCCACGATATTGGTACTTGGTTCACGTTCGACGGCGGATGACCCCATCCCTCTAGTGTCGTCAGCATGTCGAAGGCCAAACGCTCCATAATTAGTGGACCCCAACCTCCTTCGAGAATACTCGAGTTGTCGATGATTTGGGCTCTCCGGTGATCGACAACTCGTTGAGGCTGACAACATCTCGCAGTGTGATCAACATACTCATTTCCGCTCAGGAAAGTTGAAGGAATGTGTCTAGAGCCACCACCTCTCTGGCATAGCCGTGAGTAGCTCGTTGTCAATCTCCATCCCCATGAAGCATCTCACCCTTTCCAACCTCGCCCTTTCTAGATAGGGTGTGAGTCGGGCGTGAAATGGGGCTAACATGCAGTCGGTCCCTCTATGGACGTGGGAACAAGTGATTTCTACGGGGGGAAAAATCCACAAAGTAAGTTTTATAGCAACGTTTTAAAATACTTAAAAAAACATGATTTTGAAGATAGGGCGCGACGACCAGGTTATTGTTCCAAATCGCATGAGATCGATATTTGTTTGCTCGGTTAAATATTCTGCATTCCTCGGGTCGGGTTGGATATACAATCTAGGATCGTAATATATCCGTCACCATCTATCATCAAATACAAGAAAATAACATTATTAGATTTTTAAAGAAATTATAAGAGTACAAAAAATTCAAATACAATGAAAACTTTTGTGAGGTATTTTGGGCAAAAATCATAAGTATTACGAAAACAAACAACGAGTCAATCATGGTTAAACTATTATGGCATTATTGGCCTTATAGAAATATAAAATATATAACAATTTTTTTGGATAAGGGCGATACAAATATATGACAAATTTAATGGATAATAAATCATAGAAGGAAAAACAAGTAAGTAGCCTAAAAGCCTCTTCGTTCATTTTTTTGTAGAAGTCGGACAGAGGTTCGACTGGGTTATTAGTGGGACAAGGTTATATCAGAACTCAAGGAAACTTATTTGATGCGGAAGATCAAATTTGGCTGCAATCCCGGAGCATACAAGTGTTCCTTGAGTGGTGGCGGAGAGGGAGGAAGAATGTTGTGGTGGTGTGAATGAATTAGAGAGAGAGAGACTGAATTTATAGGCTGAAGGGGAGGGGGGCAGCGCTCGGCGCTGAAGCAAAGAGGAAGCACAGATCGCGTCTCTCAATCGCGATTAACGGCTAATCGCTTGCCACAAAAGCGATCCATGCCTCCCCAAGGCTTCACCGCTTTCCACGTCAGTGAACGGAGACGCTGCCTCCCAGCCAATCGCGGTCGAGAAACGCGGTTTAGCCAGATTGCTTTTTAAGAACTAGTGTAGTTAATGAAAAATCCTCGATTTTGAGATGTAGGTAAAATTAAATATAAATTTTGCACTAATTTATAAATTAGATATAAATTTTGCAAAAGTTTAAAATTTTGAAAAGTCGATAAGCCTTTAATCCCCTCTTCCAATTTTGATAATTCAAATCTAACTACTCTCATTCATATTTCTGGTTCCTGTCACGGCAATCTCTTAATAATAATGTATTCTCAATTTCTCATGCTCATTGGCCTAGGTAGCGCGTTGTTGATGGTGGTGTTAGTGTATAGGTTGTGAGCTCGTGACAACCTCATCATGCATGCTTGGAATTTAATTTAATCGGAGAGAGGAAGTAGTCATAGTTTATGAGATGGAACCTGGTTGAAATATCATCGATAATGTGATACGCATCAGCTCCATGTTCCCCACCACTACCTCCTTTTGTCGACGTGCTTTTGACTTAAATTTGGTACAGGAAATAAGAAAAGGTCAAGTGGAATTTTTGGGATTGGGTTTTGGTGAAATGATTGTAGTTGGTGAACATTGATTCATCCCCGCTTGATAACTAGCTTTATCGCGATGCTAATTAAGGGTTGGTTTGGAAGTTGCGATTGTTTAGGATGGCAACGGATCGGGCCAGGGTGGATAGTATATTCGTGATCCTACCCAAATCAGTTCGGGTTTTACTCATGCTTATACCCACATAAGAATAGGGTAGAAAATTAAAAGCATACCCATCAAAATTTAGGTTTTCGGTATCCACGGTTATCCATGGGTAATAATTTCACGTTATAACTCCAACCAATATGTTAACATTTACATATATACTCGCATTATATAAGAGGAAAAGTACGATAAAAAATCACTAGTTAGAAGAAAATTAATTAAAACAACAATTTCATGAAAATAGTATGTATGTATGTATGCTAAATATAAAATATATTAGAGAAAAATAATGATTATTTATAGACAAAGTACATATGCATGTGTATAATTAGGCGGGTTTGGGTTGGATAGCGAGGAAACCGTGCCCACTAAAAATCCTTCAGGTTTGGTTTTTACCGTACCCACTAAAAATCCTCAGTGTTTGGGTTTTACCCTACCCGATTAGGTTGGATTCACGCGAATATATATCCACGGTTATGGATATTTTTGTCATCTTGTTTCTGTGATGTGACAGAAACTATCACTCAAAATTAGTGATTGCCATATCTCAACTTTTTTTTTATTACCCAGGAACCTCAACCCCACGTGCCACTTTGTGGCAGCGGGTGCATCAGCAACATTTTCAAGGCCTAGCATCAGATATTGGGGGGAGGCTTCGTCTCCAGCACTTGCGGTGCCTTCCGGAACACCAAGTGATGTAGCGGGTTGGAACCTGAGACCTCACACATCTCAAGCCCGAAAGACCACACTCCCGACCAACTCGGTTGTGTTATATCTCAACTTTTGACTGTGATTGTTGAGTTGAAATTATTTGTTCACCTTTTAGTTGATGTGATATACACAATCACACAATACCAAATGTTGTATTTTACAATAAATCAAATTCGACAACATATATATACTACTATATAAGCATTCACAATAATACAATAATAAATGAATAGTCACCATTTCTTTCCAATTATCACTTAGTGGGCGTGAGAGATGTAAAAAAAATAAAATATGAGAATACATACTAGTTACAATATGTTTAAGCCTGGATCGTTCCAGGCGGTTTGTGCAGAGCGAGCAAGGCGTCTGTTCCAGATGGTGGGTGTACTCCAACTCCTACAAAACAAGGGTCCGTGGGCGGTCACCCTAGACACTCTCCAATGCTTAAGTTAGAGAGAGAATAAGAAGTTTTGTTTAGGTTTAGATAGAGAGAGTAGTTGAGTTACCATTAATGTCGATACCGGTGTATTTATAGTCAGCCAGCTTGAGTATGAGGCATTAAATGCCTTGTCAGGCGGCCTAGATAGGCTCAGCTTTATCTGGACCGCCTGCGGCGGGCATTAAATGCTCAGTCCTGCTGTATACGAGGTAAGTATCCTAGGAAGATCTATTTTTCCTGACACCAACGATCTCCTGTGTCGGGCGGCCTATTCCCCGTCGCATCATAGGTGGCGGCCTACGGTATCTCCTTTCCCATGCAATACAAATAACAATCAATGCAAAACTTTAGAAGGTGTTTTGACTTTCCGTTGAGTTGAGGATTGGTAGAAAGCGTGTATGTAAACCTTCTGATTCTTATGCAAATATGTAATACTATACTCAAAATAGTAAAACTAGTTTCTCCTGTTTGTGAACTAATTATTACATAGCGTATTAATGTAATGAAAAATCACGTAAATATATGTGTTAATTACTTAATTTATTTTGTTGCTTTGTCATCCCTATGACATATAGGCCTAGCCAAGTGATTACCAGCAACTTCAGAATTCATACTAGCATTAATTGTGGTGCTTAGTTTGAGCTTTCTCTAGTCTAATAATGTTGACCACTTGGACCTTCCTCCGCCGAGCTTCAATTTATTGGGCTTGAGTTCGAGTCAGTTGGGTTCGTTCAGTTCATTCTCGAGCTAATATTTAGTTGAGTCTTGAGTGTAGGGCTCGTCGAGCTGAGCTCAGATTTAAAAATTTTATGGAGTGATGTGTACATATGTCTAGGGTTGCAAATAAGTCAAACCGTTCGCGAGCAACTCGGTATTCGAATCGGAAAAAATTTGTTCGACACTCGACTCGTTGTTTAACAAGCCGGCTCGCAAACGAGGCAAACTTGAGCTAGGCCATGCTCGGCTTGATAAGTTCGTGAGCTAGATTGACTCGGTGGCTTGTTGAGCTAAGCTCGCGTGCAGGCTTGTTTAAAGCTTGTGGAAAGATTAATTACTCTTCTGAACATGAAAATTATCTTGTTAATAAGGATGTGTATGGAAGTTATATGTTATTTTTAGTTTCTAGTGTTCTTTTTATCATTTTTAATTTCTAATGTTCTTATTTGTACACATTTTTCAGTAAGAATGGTTTCAAATCGAGCTTATCTTGAGCCGAGCTTGTACTCAGCTTGACAAGCTGTGTTAATGAGCATTTACCGAGCTCGAGCTAGATTATTTTTAATCGAGTCGAGCTCGAGCTGGATGATCAAAATTCGAGTTGGGGCCGAACTCAAGCTAAAAAATTTATAAACAAGCCGAGCTGACGAGTTCAACGTAAGCAAAAACTCGACTCATTTACAGCCCTATGTCTAGTCAATTTTTATGGAGTGATGTCGTTTACAAGGAATTTAATTTGTCCCCGTAAAGAAGAAAAGGAACGAAAAAACAAATGCATCAAATAAATCAGTGACTAGAAACAGAGACCTCTACGGGTGTGGAATGTCCACATAAAGTCTGGACCGTTTCGGCTGAGGTGTATTGGAGATTAGTTAATAGAAAGGAGAGGTGGTCTTCTAGACTCTTATGTAGTAAAATATTCTCTTATATATGTCAACTCGATCGTCCCCTCCAACGAAAGAGACCACCGAACCACACATTTGCATCCCATTCTGTGGAGCACAACTTGGTAAATAAAATTATTCTAATGATTTTGCAGTTCCATTGACCTGGCTGATACTAAACAAAAAGAACACTTGAAAACCACCAAAACAAAAAGCCATTTTTTTCTGTAAATCATCGGGCAACGTCTTGATTGGCACTTTACTACAAGTCTAGAAAACCAGAATTGCGCTTTCAAACTATGCGGTGCTCTCCCGATCTACCTCAGGGACATTTACTGGGTTTAGGGTTGGCAATCGGTTCGGTTTGGTTATAATCGTAATCGTTTAGCTGGTTCTTGATGAACCGTTAAACACTTTGTGCTTATCATAACTGCAACATTTATATTAATTAGTTAACCATAACTGTATAGTCGGTTCTCAGTTATTTTTTGGTTAATAATTGATTTAGTAAGGTTATTCCAAAATAACCGATCGGTAACCTAACCAATCGAAAACTTTCTCCTTTTTTCCATTGCGCATTTTTGTAGATTTTTTTTCCTACATACGTATGTGTTCTTTTTTAAATTGTTATCATGAATAGAAATAAATAATTAAATAAAAATTAGCATAGATATCAATCCATAATCAACTCAATCCAACAACAAGTACACAATAACACCATTCAACCATCAAATTCTATTAAAGAAGTAGATTAGAATAAGAGACTCAATGACAATTACTCAACTCATAAACCCCATCAAATTACAAGGAAGTTTAAATTTACTGACAATTGTGGAGCTACTGTGCACAAGTCCAACTTCCTATTGTGCTACTTATAAACACCCTTCCTTGAAATTATTCTCATTTGACCCTAAGTCACTATTACAACTAGAGTAGGCAAGGGATCTTGTAGGTCTTCAAACTTCCCATTATTTTTGGCTTCTGTCTGCTGCTCGTCGAGCCCTATTATTTTTTTACCCTCACTATTCGGATGACCGTAATCCATTAGTCGGTTAAGCGTTTAACCGTCAGTTCCTAACCTTTTAACCTTTAGTTATAGTAATTAGCTAAATTTGACTACCAAGAACCGACCATTTATTGTTTAATCGGCTGGTGTAACTGTTAACCACAGTTCCAGTTCGATTATCAGTTACACACTTAATAAGGTAACCGTTAACCACCCCTAACGGAGTTAATACATGAGATAGTTTCGCTAGTTGATTTAATCCCGTGGATTTGTAGATACTAATAGTTAGTGAGTACAAAATATGAATAAATATCTTTAGCGGGATTGATCTAGCAGTAATATGGAGAATACAAAAATTCACTAGGATTGATCTAGCAGTAATATGGAGAATACAAAAATTCACTATTCATTATGTTCGAACCTTGAAATCAACAATCATATAAATGAATATTCAACAATTGCATCCTTGTAATATTATCCATTTTTAAGGTGACAAAACATAGTACGAAAATTAATGCCAAACATGTACTATTACTTTTTGGTAACTAATAGCCTCTATATCTACTCGGCTACTATTGGCAAGTGTAGTGAGTGACACAACTAGTAGTATAGTGATAAACAAACACTCATTGGTCAAAGACTTTGGGAATAGTAGCTAGTATTAAATTTTGACTCACTATGCAGCCAACCAAAAAGTGAGTTGAAACTTGTCTAACTAAACAAATTAACAACTATCAAACAAGCTATTGAAGGTTGCTTTCAAAAGAGAGAAAGGGGTTGGCTAGAAGTAGTGGTTATAAGTCGAGTCGAATCAAGTTTTGACTTATATTGGGTTCAACTCATTAATAAACGAGTTGAGTTCGAACTCGGCTTGTTTATTGAAATCTTGGCTCATATTTGACTCGAGATAAACTCGAGGTGGAAGAACTAATGAGCTCACAACTCATTCTGCTCATGAGACTGACTCGAACTCAGATTTCATATTATTATTAATTTTATTTAAGGTAGGGCTGCCTCGACCAAGTGATTCTTCCTTCTATCTCTTTCTCACACTTTGAGAGCTGAATTTTTTTACAGATATTATGAATTCTATTATTTTTTTTATAGTTAATCAAAAATTGTATTGAAGCCCGGGGAAGTCCAACTCGAAACTTCCCTCTCAAAAAGTAACTGGCCCTTTACATACTATACTTTATATACTAAACCAGTAAAGAAACGAATCAGCACTACTAAAATGGCGAAACTCTTTGAATTCTCAACTGGTAAGCGATATGGCCACTAGCAAAAATAGTAACTCTTTCATAATCTTCTGCGCAATTTGATAAGGAGAGTTTGCAGTCTTACTCCCATAAATTCTCGCATATCGCTCCTTCCAAATTGAGCTGACGCCAATGATCCATAGGATTCTCCTAGCTGCTATAGCATTATTAGATGGTTGAGACCAGACTCGCTCAGCCCACTCTAACTGCATTTGCCAATATGCAAAGATAGGGAACACACAGATACTACATAATAGTTGGTTCGTCACTGCACTACCAAAGAGACAAACACCAAACAAGTAAACTCTACTAAGTACTATCCAAACCATCCGGGCATAAAACACAACATCCATCACCTGATCCCCCAACCAATCAACTTGTCTCCCATTCTGATCCTCTCCAATATAATTAACCACAACAGCACACAATGCTTAGGGTAAACAGGGCTTACTTCAAACAACTTTAGTCCATGTTACATCAGGGAAAGGAACCTAATAGATTCCCATACTTGCTTAATCGAGTATTTAGCTGCCAGACTGACTCACTCCTACTGTCACTCTAGAAAATGGCCAAGTGAAACCATTTCCTAAAGCGTAGTATAGCGGGTTTGGGTTTTAATGTCAACCCGGGTCCTAGATGTGATGACTACTCAGTGAATTCTTATTATCTAGCAGTAAAACTTAAGTGCAGGTTCAAACAAACAAAAACACAAAGCAAATTAAACGGTTGTTTCAAGTCGAGAAAGGTCACCCGGATATGGTTCCCCCTAGACTGCAGTTAAGCCGGATTGCAATTACCAAGTTCAGTTTCTAAGATAGTTATACTGCGAAAGGTTCTCAAACAGTCTGAAGTCTCGACTAAAGGTCTCCAGACCCTCTCAATCTGAGTCTCTAGCGGGCGACTAACCTCCACTGGAGTAAAAAGATTGAGGCCCTAATGAACAAAACCTCCTCTACCAAAGTAACTTCGGTACAGAATAGTGAATTGGCTCCTCGACTAAAGTCACCAATTCACTACCTTCAATTAAGGGTGCTCTATCAACCTAGGCAGATATTCTCTTTCTAGGTTAAAGCAGAAACAACAGGAATTTGATCAGGATTCATGCCATTCAATCATTCAAACCTCAGTTGAATATCATAGAATCTGTACTTGGGTTCATACAATCAGACCTAACATACAAATCTAGGGTTTCCCATACCCAGATGAATGGGAGAACTACTCCATGGAGAAAGAAGCAAAAGCATATTCAGATGCGGAAACCATACTTTGAAGGATGGATTTCTGCTCCTGGGCGTCGATCGGCACTTCTCCAAGCTCAAGCCGGGCTCCAATGGTGATGAAGATCAAGCTAGGGCACTTGGGAACTCTTGTTCGTCGCTTTCTCTCTCTAGGAATCGCTCTGTCTCTCTAAAACTCGAATCCCCCTCACTTGTGGCTGGAAATTGGCTTAAAACCAGAAAATCCCGACTCACCCGGCCATGTCACCCGGCCGTGTGACTCCCCCAGCTGCCCGTGTGGCTTTGCAAAACGCGGCGTTTCATTAAGTGACTTAAGGCTTCCCACGCGGCCACGACTCACACGGCCGTGTGAGTGTCCAGGCTGCCCGTGTGGCTTTTGCCGAGCCCTCACACGACCACAGTGGGTCTCCCACACGGCCGTGTGGCTTTTGGGCATGCCCGTGTGGCCTCTCAGCTTCTCGCCAAGCGTCCAAACTTCGTCCAATCGACCCCGAACTCGTTCCTAAACCTTCATTCACGTACTAGGACCTGAAATATCACAAACAAAAACAACCTAGCGTGAAATCGGCCTAAAACACGGGAATCGACATCTCAAACGGCTCAAGAATAGGGGTAAAAACATGTGTAATCAATGGTCTATCAAACTCCCCCACACTTAACCGTTTGCTTGTCACCAAGCAAACCAAGTCAGACAAGGTAAGCTCAAAACCTTTCAATCAAGCAGGCTTTAGGGCATATCATATCGGCACAAAACACGTGGATCACACTGGCTTTCGATCATTAACACATGGACAACTCCAACCATTTACAGGATGCATAAAAAACTTACGCTTTTACGCTTCGATTCTACGCTTTACGATTTTACCCATTTTCCGCTTTTAGGTAAAATCGCGCTTTTGACTGCATTGGGATTTATAATAGGCAATTGTCCGATAAGATTCATAAAAAGAAGTAAAAACAACCTAAAAGTTAGTGAAGATGATCTAGTCAGTTGGTTACTACCATCCATTTTATATTGGATTTATTTTTTTCACATAGAAATTAGACTAATCTGACTCTTCAAAATGATATCGATTGATATATATTTTAGGAAAAAAAATGAGGCATATGTTATCTGTCTGTATTGTGATGGTAATTCTTTGGTAGTACATATCATTATATCATGGTGGTATGAAAGTGTTCGAAAGGTGGTATGAATATACTATAGTGTAGAATGATTGTATACATGACAACAACAATGTACTAACCACCATCTATCACATTTCACCACTATTTCACCACTGTCATCTTTCGCAGTTTACCATCTAATATTAGGATGGTATATTTGATCCATGAATTTTGTTTTCCATAAATTCAAAGATATGAAAATAATATTGACAATAAGATTTCATAAATGAGTTATGGGAAAATGGAGGGGAAAATATGTAAAAAATGAGTCTAATCCAGATTTGAATAAAATTGTTACAACAATTTATATGATCTCACAAAAAATATCAGAAAGCTACTAGAAAATTGTTTCACGGTTTTGAGCTAGCTTTTGTTGTGTTGACAACTCTTTTTTTTTTTTTGACAAGGGATGTGCTTATATTGCAATATGGAAATCACGGTTACAAGAGGCGGATTACATCAATGGAACAAAAGCAAAATGAACACTCTAATAAAAGGCAGAACAATCAAAGACAAAAGCAAAGCTAGAGAACCAGCCACAAGAAAGAGCAGGCAAGATTGAACTACACCAATATCAGAGAGCCATCACCAGAGCCAAGGAAGTGAACCCAAGAACCTCATGCTTCCACAACCAACAGATCAGCAACAAAGCAGGGTTTCAACTCTCCCAAAACAGACAAGACCATGGCGCTTGAAAACACAACGCCATAAGCCGCCTCCTGGGGATCGTTCGAAGACGATCCATCACAGTGAATCACAAGGTTGCAATTACATGGCGGTGGGCAGGGCTGAAACCGGGATGCTCAGAGTTGAAAAAAAGGTCGAGGAAGCCGAAGGCAGGATGGACCGAGAAATGGAGAGACAAAGAACTCCAGCCTAGTCTCAACCAAAACCCAGAACAGCTGCCGATGACAAACGGAAATGACACCGAAACCCACAACAGCCGAGAAGAGAAGAGGCTGAGATGCTCACCAACAGTCGACGGCAGGGGACAACGGCGAATGAGTTCTTCCGAACTGAAGAAACCACCAACAAGGAGGAGCCACTCAGGCACCAGATCTCCATTAGAGACTCTTCCAGCTGCAAAATCCGAAACCCAAGCAGAGCAAAGCAAGACCAGAGAGGAGAATCCAAGATCCGAGAAGAAGAGCAACCGCTCCGAAATCTGAAACGCCACATCAGCAGAGAAACCCTAAACTAGAAGATCCGGGTGAAAATCGCCTAAGACAAAGGCATGAAACACAAGAGCAAGAAGAGCAAAGGAAAGTACAAAAAAAAGAGAGATTGAGCTGCCGCCGGTCACCAAAAGGAGCCGGCGGCAGCCATGGGAAGTGTGAAAGAGGAGCCTGCTCCTAGAGAGAGGCGAGAGCGAATTTTGAAAAGGAAAGTAAGAGAGAGGAAAGCTAAAATCCAACTAAACATAACTAAAACACAACTCTTGTTGCCAGATAAAAACATAACTAAACATCTTTTTGATCAATCATTGTTTTCACATATGAGAAGACTTTAATCGAAATGAAAAGGATACTAACCATTATATAAAAAAGGATAATAAACAGGTCTTCATAGACCCAACCGTACAACCAAAGATGAGGGAAGGAGAAGGACTCTATAGAGCTAAGCGACATTGCATTTGCAGGTTATTATATACTTATTAATTTATTTGACAAGTTACTTAAAATGAAAATTTTCGATTTCAATGATGCAGATTTACTAAGCACATAAATTGATATTAAGTGAAGTCAATTTAGAGTTAGTGAACACAATGATTTAATGATAAAATGGGATCGGTTGCTTAACAGCCCCTAGGGGGGTCTGATTTTCGAGAGTCTAGGAAAAAACGGTACCCATACATAATTTCAAATTAATTACTCATTCCCCTTTTTATCTCACCGTTTTCTCTCTTGCTCTCTCCCTTTCAATAAACCAGAAACCCTCCCCCTGTCTACCAGAACCGTTTCCCGTCGTAATCCATCCCCGCCGTAGCATCTAGGCCATCCCGCTGTCGCCATCCCTCGCTGTAACCCCATCCCGCCGTTAAGGCGTCAATCAAGAAGAGGGTATCAAAAAATAGAAACCGGGAATATGGGAGCAGAAAAGCCACTTTCCCATCAAGCTAAATTGTCCCTTCCTCATGCCTACCAGAGGTTTGCGCCAAGGTGACCCTTTATCTCCTCTTTTGTTTGTGCTGTGCGCAGAGGGTTTTGCAGCTCTCTTGAAAAAGGCAATATCGGAGAATCGGCTGGCTGGGGTCAAAGTTGCTTCGCGTGCCCCCCGTATCTCGCATTTGTTCTTTGCTGATGATTCATACCTATTCCTACGCGGTACCCTACAGGAATGTGAGAATCTGATTGAGGTTTTGAATGAATATGAGGAAATGAGTGGTCAGCGGGTCAACCTGGCGAAATCGGCAGTTTGCTTTAGCAAGAATATTGCTCTGCCTGATCAGGAGTTCCTGGCTGCTATCTTGGGCGTTGGGGCGGTTGGGGTGCGTGATAAATATTTGGGCCTCCCTACTCTACTTGCGCGGTCGAAGATGGAAACCTTTCGGTTTTTGGAGGAAAAGCTTTTGGAGAGGCTTCAGGGTTGGAAGCAACGGACTCTGTCTTGGGCAGCTAAGGAGACACTTATTAAATCTATTGCCTTGGCATTACCGCTGCACGTGATGTCCTGCTTTAAATTACCTCTCTCGCTTTGTCGCCTTTTGGACAAACACGTGGCTCGCTTTTGGTGGGGAGATAATGACGGGCATTCTCGGGTACGGTGGATGGCCTGGAGGGATTTGTGTAGGAGTAAACATGAGGGAGGGTTGGGGTTCCGTAGGTTTGAACATTTCAATCAAGCCCTGCTCACCAAGATTGGATGGCGCATCATTATGGAACCTACCTCCCTGCTGGCCCAAGTCTATAAGGGTAAATATTTCCCCTCTGGGCACTTTCTCTCTGCTAAGGCTCGGTCTCGGCCGTCTTGGGGGTGGCAGAGCATCTTGTATGAGCGAGATTTGTTAGAGATGGGTCTCAGGTGGCAAATTGGGAATGGCCGGTCGGGGTCTCTGCTCCGATCCCCATGGATTCCCCAGATGCAGCTGGATCCCCCTCGGTATAACCCTTTAGTGCTGCCGGAAGGGGGTGACCCTGTAGTGGCCGAGGTGATTTGCCAGGGGGGGGGGGGCGGTGGTGTGAGTCCAAACTCAGTCAATGGTTTGACCCTCTTACGTGCCGTCACATTAAGACCATCCCTTTGCCGCATCAGAACCAGGAAGACAGATTGATATGGCATAATACCAGGGATGGGGTGTTTTCGGTAAAATCGGCCTATCACTTGGCTGTCTCTCTCGATATGAGGAAAGGTCGGTGGAAGTCGTCAGTGAGTTGGATGGATAAGACCAGTTGGATCCGGTTGTGGGACGCTAATCTCCCCCCTAAGCTCAAAGTTTTTGTATGGCAGATTCTGAACCGGATCCTTCCCACTACGGAGGCCCTCATTGAGAAAAAGATCCATGTTCATCCTCGGTGCCCGGTCTGTTGGGGTGACCAGGAAACCATGGAACATTTGTTCCTTGATTTTCCAGTGGCACGTGCGCTTTGGGGATATTCAGGGTTGGAGTATTTAGGAGAGGGGTTGCCTCGGCAGACTTTCCCTATGTTTCTGAAGAAGTTATTGGCCTTAGTCTCGGAGCCCAAGCTGCTTATGCGAGTTGTTGCCGTCTTATGGCGAATCTGGCGGTCTCGGAATTGGGTGGTCTTTGAAGGCAAGCAGTATGGGTTTCCGGCATTAATGCGTCAGCTTTCCCAGCAGGTTGAGGAATGGGTGGGATTACCGAGGGACGCGACCCAGCCTCGGCGCACAGAAATTAGTCAATCTGGTCTTTTAAATCCCGCTACTGGGATTGTGTGTCAATGGGATGGGGCTACTAGGAAGGGGTCTCACTCGGCGGGAGGATGGGTTCTCTATGATATGGCTGGGGCTGTTTTCCTGGCTAGTGGGATCCAGTTCCCTGGGATTGATGAGCCCGCTGTGGTGGAACTGCTAGTGCTCCGGGAGGCTATTTTTTGGTGTCTGGCCCATGGGTTCACAGAGGTAAGATTTGAAGGGGATGTTAAGATGATCATTGACAAAATCAACAAGGCGGAGGCTCGGGATAATCAGCTGGGCGCGGTTCTTGAAGAAGTAATGCATGCTGTTAGTACTAGCCCTGGTTTCAGTGTTCGGTTCATTGGTCGGAGGAGTAATAGGGCAGCCCATTTGGTGGCTAGAAAAGCCCTCGCTATGTGCCCGGCTATGATCCGTTTGTTTGACTTTTGTGCCTGGTTGTTGTCCAGGATGTAACTATCGTTTTTGAATCAATATATGATTATCTTTTGTAAAAAAAAAAATTGTCCCTTCCTCATTCGTAATTATCATGACAGTTAATGCTTCCCCAATTTACAAGTTTACAATTCTCTAAAAAAAATTACAAGATTACAAAAAAATAAAATAAAAAAGAACTTCCATTAATACTTGGCAAATGATTGAGTGGAAAAGGGATCAATCAAGAAGAGAGTGTCAAAAATTAGACCCCCTTTTGGGGTTGACATAGTATCTGACCCCTGTTGTATATGTATATTAGTTAAATGCATTCGGGTTTGAAAGTGTATGAGAAAAGCTAAAAAAGACCTTTGAGATTTGAGAACCTGTTTTATAGAGTTAATTTTCTTATAATTTCTGCCCTGAAGTATTTGAGATCACAACCCTCAAATGTATAAAAATTATCAACAAAACTATTCAAAATGCAATTCCCTAAATTTCACATATTTATTACATCTAACCAAATAATCTCCTAATCCATTATCCTAATTAATTTAGTCTTTGAATTCATAAAAAAATTAAATTAGTCTTTGAACGATTAATATGAGAGAAGGATTCAAGAAATCATAAGAAAATAAAAAAAAAAGTATAGGATCCCGGCGCAAGACAGGCCAATTATCTTTGGTATATAATTTTTTTTAATTCGACAACAATTAATACGACATTTAAAATTTCAAAAATTTACTCTAATATTGCCACCACACCGAGGAGGGCACATTATTTAAAACCAGAGGGATTTGTCTAACCTATGGCTCGGAGTTCTGCAAGATAGTCCTTTGGTGGATAGTGCTACTGCATGGAATATCTGCAATGGAAGTGTGGCACACTTCTGGAGCAACTGGTGGCTAGACGAATCAATTATTCTCAGGGAACATGCCCCAAACCTCTCGCTGGAGATGATGAATATGTCTATGGCTGAATTCGTCCTCAATGGTGAGTGGAACGAGACTTTACTTAATGTTTACTTACCCAAGAAAATAATTTCGCGGGTACTCCTACACCCCTGTGCCGATGGAGAGTGAGCCGGATGCTAGAGTGTGACACCTCTCGCCAAATGGAATGTTCTCCCTGCGCACGACGTATGAGCTCACATACATGGTGGAGAATCCTATCCTTAGTCAGCCGATAAGGAGATCCATCTAGAAGACTCTGATGATGTAGCGAGTGTGCATGTTCTTTTGGCTGCTTAACCACAGTCTCTTGATAATGGACACAGAATGTAGAATCTGCGGCGGGTGACCGAAGACAACCATCCATGTTGTTCACGACTGTCCTCTTGCGAGAGCTACATGGGTGGGGCTGCTTGAAGACGAACCATACACGACTTTTTTTGAACCAAACATTCACTGATTGTCTCTGCATTATTTATCAGGATGCAGTAACATCAATGATAACACTCTTTTTGTAGGCACATGCTGGCTTTTGTGGAAGCACCAGAATGACCACTTGTTCTGGAGTGAGCTAAAATATCACCAACAATTTTTTTAGATAGTTGGATCTACGACAAGATAATTACAATGAAAAGAAAAAAGGAGTTCAGAAAATTTCTCATTGGTAGGAAGGGGGTGACGTGGATGCGTGAGATGTTTGGGAATTTGAATTCGTGAATCTTTAAATGAAAAAGTCTTGGACTTTGCTATGGTGACTTGCAAGTCGGCGTGCATTGGACAAAATGGTCGACCTGTTCACTGATGAGGTCGACCTATTTGGACAAAACGATCGACCTCTTCATTGATATGATCTACCTATTTGTAAAAAATGGTCAACCTCATTGTTAGAATGGTCGACTAGATGTACTATTTTTCATTTTGCTATGTTCAACAAATGCTCAACTTCTTCCACTAAAAGACACTACAAAAAAATGGTCTACCTCTTTCCCCAAGCGGTCCACCTCTTTCAATACTTGATCCACCTGATGAACCATTCCTAGTGATATCATTATATATAATTAGAGTCCAATAACAATAGATATGCTTTCTAGTAAGGGATTTAAAATGAGTACAAAGACTGCAAGCATAGATGACAAGTTTCTCGAGTGATTGTTCTCCTGTAGATTTGAAAAATGTTATGCATATTTATTTCTTATATTTGACTTACTTTATAGAGATTTTCATCTTTTTTTCAAATTCTAAGTTTTCTTGTTTCCATCCTATAGTTGTCTTGTGATGGATCAACTTTGTTGTTATCATTGTTATGAAAATGTTCAAAAAGTAGAGTAGATTTGTTATACAATTGTGTCATCTTCGACGTCCATAAATCTCATATCATCACTTTTGGGGATTTTTATTCCAGAAGAGTTAAAAGCGGGCGTTTCTTTTTGTCTTGGCCTATAATCTGCGTAGGGATTTGGTCACCCACAATTGAAAGGATGTTGCGTTACTACAAAACAATTTTACATTGTTGGTCTCCTATTATCCATTATTTTCCTAATGTAAGTATAAGGTAATTGTGTTATCTGGTCGATTGTTCGCCGAAAACGGAGATCATTTGCCAAAAGAGATATGTAAACCATATTGCGAAATCAGTAGGCTGTTTTGGCAGAAAACGTCTACCTCCTCCAACAAGCAGTTGTGAGTTGAAGGTAAGTGTGTCACATGTCGACCCATTGCCAGAAGCGCTAGACCGACTGCCTCGAGTGGTATACCACTTGGTGGAAGAGGTTGACCACTTAAGGTAATTGTGTCATCAGGTCAACCCATTTTCGAAGCGGTAGACCTGTTGACTCAAGTGGTAGACCACTTGGTAGAAGAGGTCGACCAGTTTTTTGGAAGTAGTCGACCACTTGGTGGAAGAGGTTGACCACTTGTAGGTAAGTGTGTCATCAGGTCGACCCATTTCCGGAAGTGGTAGACCGGATGACTCAAGTGGTAGACCACTTGGTGAAAGAAGTCGACCGCTTTAAGGTAAGTGTGTCATTCGGTCGATCCATTTCCGGAAGTGGTAGAGCTGATGACTCAAGTGGTAGACCACTTGGTGAAAGAGGTCGACGATTTTCTTGAGAAGTGATAGACCGTTTTTTTCAAGTTACGGTGACTTGTAAGTCACCATAGACATACCCAAATCTTTAATATATTCTTTAGAAAGTTACCTAACACTAAATGTTATCATTTTCTTTCAAATATTTTTATAACCCGACTATAGCAATCACAAGACGCCTACGTGAATGTTGGTTACAAAGTGGCAATTGAACGAATCTCCACAATCACAGAACACTCAAAATAAATTATACCGAGAGCATAATAGCCAAAACTATCAATTTTTGTTGTTGTTATTACTAAGAGCAAAAGTATGAGCTAGATGTTAGGGATCGATGTTAATTTTGGCGAAGTTGTTGTTGTTTAGTTGCAAGAAACACTCACACACCTACCTCGTTGCCAAAAGACCAACTGTCTCTTCCTATCCTCGAAGTGGAAACCCAGGCAGAGCAGTGGCCCCCACACGTTGGCGCGCGCGTGTCCACACCCAATACACTCTTCCAGCCGACGACTGACGCATATCTCTCGCCTAGCGAGCTGAGGCTGAGCTGCCTGCCTTCTCCTCCACACCAAACCTCCTCAACATTCCGTCTGCAAGTTTTCTGCTTTGCTTCCTCCCCAATCTCCACACCTCTATTCTCTTTCTTCTTCTTCTTCCTCCCCTTTTTCCTCTCTGTTTCCTCTCTTTCTTTCCCCTCGTTTTTCTTTTACCTTTCGTTTCCTTCCAGAGTCTCGACCTACTGCAACTTCTCCCTTCTTTCTTTTATCAAACTCCACCTCCTCTCTTGCTTTCTGTCACTTTCCAGAGAAAGAAATAAGAGTCAACTAACCCAACAACCCAGGCCATTTGTGCCCAACTCCTCCTTCAGGCCGAAAGAAAGAAACTTGCAGCCTCCCCTGCCAAATTTTGGGGGGATCAGGAACTTGCTTGTTTAAGCTTCTTTCTTCCTCTGGAAGAGCCTTCGGAGATTCTGAAGCCGTCTCATGGTTATCAGCACTTCTTTTGCTTCGTCTCTGTGATTGCTGCTGCAACCAGGGAAAATCTTCAACTTCAATTTGTTTCCTCTATTGTTTTGGAAAAATGGGCAACTGCTTAGATTCTTCTGCCAAAGTTGATGCTAGCCGGAGTTCGCACAATATCCATACTGGTAATTAGTTGATTGGCCACCTCCACATCAAAGTTTTTGTCTTTTCTCTATTTTTCTGTGCTGATTTCAGATGGGTTCGTCTTGATTTCTCATGGGTTCCTAACCCTTTCTCCTAAAATAGATCAGATCCGCAAAGGCCGGGTCTTTTTATGTGTGTGATTGACTTGGGCTTCCTTTTTTTTTGTTTGTAACTTGACCGGTGATACGTCATGTCATGTAGTATTGAAAACAATTTCAGCTTCTATTCAGTTCTTTGATTCAAATTCGGCGAGGTTTCCTGTTCAAGTTTTGTTCTTGTGGCTTGATTCGTACTTAAACAGAATTAACCAGTTAACTGTAATGTTTCCATATTTATTTGAGATGAATTGGCTCTCTTCTCCATTTGAACAGGAGTTTCTTTCATAGATTTCGACTTGTTTGTGAAAGCTTTTGATAGGTGCTATTTAGTGAATTGACTTGCTTGAATTCTGTTAGGCTGTTCTGTTGGTTAAAGGGATAGGTTTTGTGGTAGCTGTTGCCTAAATGCAGTAGCTGAGGGAACTCATTCATTTGTTATCTTTGTCAGGATCAGCAGCCTCAAAAGTTTCCAGTAAAACCAGCGGCCGGTCGTCAGCACCTTCCAGCCTGACCATTCCATCTTACAGTGGTAGGAGCAGTGAGTGTCTTCCTACACCCAGGAGCGAAGGTGAAATACTGTCATCCCCAAACTTGAAGGCCTTCACATTCAGTGAGTTGAGGAATGCCACTAGAAATTTCCGGCCCGATAGCTTACTAGGAGAAGGCGGATTTGGATATGTCTTCAAAGGCTGGATTGATGAGAACACTATGACAGCTGCAAAGCCTGGATCCGGCATGGTTGTTGCAGTTAAGAAGCTTAAACCTGAAGGTTTCCAGGGCCACAAGGAGTGGCTGGTAGGTTCTTGTCTTTCCAGATATTCATGTGCTTTTTCTGCTGTTAATTGTTGCATCATTGATAATGAAATTTGTTTCGTCTGTTTGTAGACGGAAGTTAATTATCTCGGCCAACTTCATCATCCAAATTTGGTTAAGCTCATTGGATACTGCCTAGAGGGCGAGAACAGACTTTTAGTGTACGAGTTCATGCCTAAAGGGAGTCTGGAGAATCACCTGTTCAGAAGTAAGTAGTGCTGGTGTAATCAGTTTACCTAAGTTGTGCTATGGTTCTTGGTCTTGGATATTTCATCCTCATGGATCATGGCGCTTCATCTATCAAGCTATGAAAATGAAGTGTACTGTGGCATCTCCTGTACAGCGTCTTCGAACTTTTCAGTCTTTAATTGAACTTTTATACGACTATGATCTTCGAAAGTATTAGTTCCTGTAACTAGCCTGTTTTGGAGAATTTTGTGGATGCTAAATGTGTACTTTTTTTGTGTGGCTAGAATGTGTATAGTTCTTTAATGTCCATGCACTGGAGTGTGCTATTTCAGTATTGGGGATCTCTTCCTGATAAGTTCGTTGAGTTACATGTTTGATCTACTTGTGCAATTTAGTCAAGATTCTTAAGCATATACTAATGTTATTAAGAGCTCCCTTTTCATATGCCTATCCAGCTGTGCCAAGTGAACCTTTAACGTTTGCTGCATCACCTCAGCCTTCAAAAATGAATAATCAAACTTTGTGATGCTCTGTAAAAAGAGGAATCTGGAAATGCAGAGATTTCTTGTCAAATCTCTGATGACATATATTCTAACTTCAATGTTTCTTGTACAACAGGAGGACCGCAGCCACTTCCATGGGCCGTGAGAATGAAAGTTGCTATTGGTGCAGCTAGAGGTCTTTCTTTCCTTCATGATGCGAAATCCCAAGTCATCTACCGAGATTTCAAGGCTTCCAATATTCTTCTAGATGCGGTATGCTGAAATCTTTTTCGCTTCTGAAGTCCATTGCTTTGTTGAGTCTGGTGATCACACTCTGAATCACCTTCTTACCAAATGCAGGATTTCAACGCCAAGCTGTCCGATTTTGGGTTGGCGAAGGCAGGTCCTACAGGTGACAGAACTCATGTCTCCACTCAGGTCATGGGAACTCAAGGATACGCAGCACCTGAATACGTCGCTACAGGTGTGTTTCTTGCTTCCATGCTACTACTCCATACACGGGTGGTAAATTGGGTGCAAAGTGACTGATTATCTAAATTCCATCCTGGTTCCTCGAAAACAGGACGGCTGACTGCAAAGAGCGACGTGTACAGCTTTGGCGTCGTCCTGCTGGAATTGCTTTCAGGACGACGTGCTGTGGACAAATCGAAAGTCGGCGTGGAGCAAGTTCTGGTGGACTGGGCGAAACCTTACTTGAGTGACAAGCGGAAGCTGTTCCGAATCATGGACACGAAGCTGGGAGGTCAGTACCCACAGAAATCGGCGGTAACAGCAGCTCACTTGGCCTTCCAGTGCTTGAGCAACGAGGCGAAACTCAGGCCTCGAATGTCGGAGGTATTAGCGACCTTGGAACAAATAGATATTCCGAAGAGCGCAGCCAGGAACTTGGTATCGGAATACCAGAGCGGAGGACTTAGCTCTCCGGTACAAAGGTCGCCATTAAGACCTCATCATTCTCCTCTCCACTTGACCGCAAACGCTGCTTCCCCGTTGAAAGGGCAACGGCTTTCCCCAAGGGTGCGTTGACGGGAGATCAAAGGAGAGTTGGCATTAATGATTTAAATATCATCTGTAAAGGTTTTATGTAGCTTTGGTTATGAGGGTGCTGTGCTGTTGTAGAATGTAATTTAGAGTGTGTAACGTGTAATATTGATGCCAATTTTGTAACGATAAGTGACAGGTGATGAGAATCTGTTAATGTCAGTTACTTGGAAGAAATATCTTTATTACTAATAATGTAGATATATTTGAGCTTATCATTTGAGTTCACTTTTAATTGCGTAACACAATCTGTTTGCCGCCAATCTTATTTCTGCAAAAGGAGTACTTCAAAGTCATCACCACCATTGACATTTAACTGCACATGCATGGTTGTTGAAATGATTCTATTGTTCATAATTTATTGTATTTATTTTTATATGTAGATAAATGCATGTATATGATTGTACAATTTTAGTTTTTAGGTGAGATTTGTTGGACTAATCTTTCCCTTCCTGCACCAAGCAAAGAAAATATGTTTTTGCAGGAAAAAGTGCCAAGAAGAGGGCCTATTAGGTTCGAGAACTGCATGGGCCAAATTGTATTTAAAAAAAAGCCAAGTGAGAAATATCAAAGAATAATAAAGCTAGCCGTTGATGACTAAAAAAATGCATAGGTTTCTTGTGGAATTTCGCGTGATAAATGCACTCTGACTTTAAGACAACGTTCGAATGAGGGTGTTTGATGCATACATTAGAGGATCTACTAACTGTTAGCTCTACTCCTATGGAGATCACTTGAGAGCTCCGCAACTACTGACTACGACTACAGAGAAGTCAGAAGCCTCGTGGGAGGGTCCCTGATGCTACTGCTACGACTACGATTCTAGAGAGAGAAAGATAAAATTTGACGAGACTTGTTGTGGTTTGATTTGTCTGTCCTCCGCCAGAGCCTTGTTGCAAGTTTTGTTGTGCATCACCCTCTAACCGCCTTCTCTCTCTCTCTCTCTCTCTCTCTCTCTCTCTCTCACTCTCTCTCTTCTCAAAAATCAGCTCCACGTAGCATCCTCTAACTCTTCTCGGAGCATCCTTTGCAAGTCAGTTGTTGCTTCCGGTAACCACCTTCAACACGTTATCATGTCACTGGATAATCAACCCTACGTACCATGGATGAACAATTGGATGACCACCATACACCAAACAACTTAGATGGCATCCATGTTAACTAAGACAACAATCCATGGACGGTAACCAGATTAAATGGTCACCATATCCTAGCATGGATGGCACCATCTACTTAATAGTTTGGATGGTATCCATGATGAATGGGATGGTACCATCAATTATAGGGTTTGGACAGTATCCATTATGTTGGACACGACCATCCATAATAGGATTTGGATGGTATCCATGTTGTTGGACACTACCATCCGTAACAGGATTTGGATGGTTACCATGTTGTCGGACACTACCATCCATAATAGGATTCAGATGATATCCATGTTGTCTCATACCGAGCTACCATCCACTGAACCTACGGCTCAACTAGATAAATGGACCATCCATGTACATATGGACCAACTACTTAAAAGCAGTCAAGCTGTGTATACATGTAATAATTAATGATATTTATTTTTTGTGTAAACAAATGCATCCCACAACTTAGTTCATAAGAAATTATGGACTAAATTGTTGACACCAATTGCTCCATAGACCAAATCAGACGAATCAACTAGTGAGCCTGCACAACCCCCGATCACATAAAGAGTCCCCATCCTTCATTGTCCAATCACCCATTACAGTAATTTATCTCACTTCCAACTCTTACTCGGACAAACGATTTTTTTATATATTAGGGTTATGATAAAGCCAAGAAATTTAATTAGTCCTTAAATAGCCAAACAACGTGGCCTACTTTTTCCTTTTTTGATAAAGAACACAAATTCTTTTTTATGTAGGACACTCCTTAACTCATATCCTACTAGCAAAAGGAGGCTCATTACTACGAGGACACAACTAATTTTTTTCTCTATTAATTGATGCTCCCATCCATCATAATTCACAACTCAAGAATACCAACACACCTCCGATAAGCTTGCTTCCCAACAGTAGCTCCACAATGCCTCCATGAATCACCAAGCCAAGCTAAGCTTATTTTTTCTTTGCTTCCACGCGAACCTTGGTGTGCCTTCTGGAATTAAAAACATGCAAACTCCGATTAACTTGCTGTTGGCGGCGTACGCCCATTATTTGCATCATTGGACATATAGTTTGGCATTCATGTTGTGCGGCCATTTAATTTTTATTTATTTATTGAACATATGGCCACTTCTAAAGCTTTGTGCCCACGTAGAGGCTTTTGCTTTGCTTTCTCATACAAGCATACATGCACCAAACTCCAATACTATGTGAACCTTTAGCCTATCGCATGGTCAAACTGATTTATTCCCACGCCACACCTTACAATACAATAATTTAATCATTATAGAATAACCATGCAGAATTCATTTAATTTTAAAAGTTTCCAACTACACCCTTATTAATTTCTGGCAGAAAATATTCATTGATAGTTCATCTTCTAAAAACGCCTTTGGTCCCTACGTAGAAGATCAAGTGTTCTTGTGTGTTTCTATTATATTCATTAGTTCTTTTATAATTTTTTGTCGATGAACCCTACACTCTAGTTGTGCCTTCTCAACGTACGGATACAATCGAACTAGAAATATCAAATTCTTGTTGATGTTCTTTATTTTGCTGGAATTGGCACCAAACAATATATGTATAAGTAATTTAGTTAATAAATGTGGATAATTATGCCATCCTTATAATTAGTAAATACTTGTGGAATTCATTTTACATTTTCATCTAAATTCCTCGAAATTGCTATAACTAGTTCCAATTCTAAAAAATTCAAAATCTAGAATTTAAAATGAATTCTTTTAAATCAAAATCAAATGAATTTCATTTCAAAATGAATTTTGTCAAATCTTATGAAATTCATTTATACCTAAATACCAAATTTATAAGAATTCAGATTAGACATAGTGATGACAATGGGATGGGGCAGGGTGGGTACCTCAATACCCATGCCCCGCCCCATGCTACAGCGGATCAGGGCGGGTAAAACCCGCGCGGGTACGGGGCGGTGCGGGTCGACCCACCCTTACATGTTATATAAAAAAATACACGTAAATTTTACTTTTTAGGATAAAACGAAGGGAAAAACACTTTATGAATGACAAATAGTGATAATAGAATGGACAATTGAGTCTAACAAGTTGAAAGGTCGACTCTAACTAGTTGAAGAAAAGTCAAAATATGAAAAATATGTATAGATATCGTAAGAAATTTAGATAAAATGAGCCAATAACAGGGCGGGGCGGGACAGAACGGGTGAGAAGTAGATACACATGCTCCGCCCATGCTACTACGGGTGGGGTAATACCCGCCTTATTGCAAATCAGGTCGGTAACACCCCACGGGGCGGGTTCAAATTGGCAGCACTAATTGGACATGTCTTCTGGCCGGTTGGAGTTTGATGGAGGTTGGGCCAAATCCATTACAGTTTGGTCAGAAGCGGCCGGATACAGTAACCGGATATGTCCACATCCAAATAGGTCCAGCCCAAACAAGAAGCAATTCTTTATTATTTACCATTTTTAATTTCTTTTGTTTTCTTTTTTTCATCTTTCCGAAAGTGGGCAGAGCAACGAAAAGAGAGCGAAGGTTGACACAGCAAACCGGGAAAATTTCGATCACCGGAACGTTAAAGGTGTCAGTTTCAGAGTTCTTTTGACCTCCGACAATCATTCCTGTTCTCCGGCGATGGTCGCCTCTGAAGATAGGTAAGTAATTTCTATGGTTTCCGATTCTCAGCTCCAATTCTAGCTGCTGCTTATGTTACTCTCCTCTTAAATCTCGACCTAACTCGATTAAAGGAGAAGATTTGATACTGTTTCTTTGTTGGCCCTAATTTATTCAGATTTGGACGATCGCTGCGATAAAGCTTGGAGAGGTGTTGTTCAGCTGCTAAAAGGACGCAAAGAGAAAAGGAAAGAATTTGCTTTTCAGTTTCAAGTTTCTTGTGAGTTTATAGTTCGCGTTCTGAGTTGCTAGGGGAACAAAAACACAAGAGAATGGTGCTGGTTTTAGCTATAGGGGACCTTCACATACCCCATAGGGCGGCCGATCTGCCTCCAAAGTTCAAGTCCATGCTTGTTCCTGGCAAGATTCAACATATCATCTGCACTGGCAATCTCTGTATTAAAGTATGTCTACCTGGGTACTTTCTCAAGTTCTTCCATTCGTCGTTCCACTATCTTACTGAATTGACTTCTTTTGTTGGGTCTTCGTCTTTAATTTGCTTGCCATGGGTTTCCTCCCAGTGTAAATGCCTTGATCCATATGGCTCCTTGTTATTAGATAGATAGGCGCAGGCATGTTGCATTTCCATACTTCCGTGGGGTTTGGCTGGTTTTAACAGTTATGTCTGATCTTATAGTGGCTGTGTTGTTCATTTCTTGAAAAATTTACATTTATGCTGAGAAGTTCCACAATGAAGAACCATAAGTATTTTCAGTGGAAGATAGAGTTACATAGTGGTTGCATATTTGATTGGTATGTAGTATTTGGAAGACGGTATGGTGTCAGATGGTTCGTTTCTGGAATCTCCAAGGTTTGAGGGTGCCTATTGATCTTTGGGACTACATACTGTTTCAATTGCTCTGTATTGCTTTGTCTATGAGATTATCATCCAGAAGTATTAGATCCATTTTCCCATCAGACGTAATGAAATTTCTGATGCAAACCCTGCCTTTTAGATTTCCTTTGGAAGTCATTTATAGCTGGTCATGTGCTCTTTGTTACCATAGTTCATCCATAATTCTTATTAGCTATTGGTTTGTGTGACTTTCATGAACAGGAAGTGCATGATTACTTGAAGAGTCTGTGTCCTGATTTGCATATCACCAGAGGTGAATATGATGAAGACTCCCGCTATCCGGAGACCAAGACGCTCACCATTGGACAATTCAAGCTTGGAATATGCCATGGCCATCAGGTTCTCTTTCTAAAGCTGTTTGCATAGCTGCACTTGCATTTATTAGATGATTTCTCTCATTTTTGGACAAGGGAAGGGAAGGTTGGGCAGAGGGTAGGACTTAGGACGGTACTAAAAATGTTGGACTGATGACATTTGTTTCCTGTACATTTGGAATCCTTATCCTCCTTGTGTTAATGCTCTGAAGGTTATTCCTTGGGGAGACTTGGATTCACTAGCCATGCTGCAGAGACAACTCGATGTGGACATCTTAGTGACCGGTCACACACATCAATTCAAAGCCTATAAACATGAAGGTGGTGTAGTTATCAATCCAGGCTCGGCCACTGGTGCTTACAGTAGCTTCACCTATGATGTGAACCCAAGCTTTGTGCTGATGGACATCGACGGTCTACGTGTTGTGGTGTACGTATATGAATTGATTGATGGTGAGGTCAAGGTCGACAAGATTGATTTTAAGAAGACCGCCAATCCTCGGTGATTACACATGCTGAGAATGTAGCTTGAATCCCATGTTATGTACCCGAAGGAAGCAATTATATGCTTATTGCTGGATCCTGGCGCCACATTTGAATGGATAAAGACGTGTACCTTACTTTTGATGTTTGTTCGCTCATTGTTCCTGAGTTTTTTAGACCTTGATTAGGGTTTCAGCGGCGTGGCGTGTAGCTTCGTATTTTGCATTCTCTTTTGTTTCCTCGGTGTGTAGCTTTTATTCAGTGTGTTTGGCAGAGTAAAAGTACTCGGTTCTTTCAAAATAATATGTTTGGCTGGTGAAAGAGGATGTATCATTTGATACTTGTTATATCAATTATGCTGCTCTTTAACGTCGCCGTCTTAACTTCGGTATCCCCCTCCACTACATATATGCCTCCTCTCGATTTGTAGTTGCGTTTGATTTTATCGGCAAATCGCTTTCTGCTACGCAAATCGCATTCCAATTGTCGAAATCAGTTGATGTATCTCTGTGCCGGCACCGTCTTCGCTCTTCGCTCGTCATTCCATCCATTATGCCATTATTGCTGCAATTTCTGGCAAAGTCGCCTCTCCACATTTCATCTTAGTTGAAAATCATCAATGTTTTCCACTTTCGACGACCTAAACCTGCAACTTTCAGGTATGCGTTCTACTACCATTTGAGATCTGGTAGAAAATCACCTATGTTTTCCAATTCTGAGGACCTAAACCAGTAGCTTTCAGTTATGCATTCTGCTACCATCCAAGATCTGGTTCAAATTCTACTATTTTCACTCTCACTCTGCACTATGATATTTCTGACGTTGTATTTTTCTAGTATGTATTTTTCTAGGAGATTAGTTTTGTTGTTTGAGTTTGTTTTATTGTTTATGGTATGCAGTGTGTTGTTTTGTGGTTTGTCTAGAGTTTCTGGACTCTGGTATACATTGTACTGTTTTGTGGTTTGGGCTCTCTTGTTTGTGGTGTTGTTTTAGAAAATTTGTGGTATGCTTTAGGGTGTTTCTGGTTTGCATAAAGAGGTTTTTGGTTGCATTTCTAGGTTTTTTTATTTGTATTAGAAGCTTCAGTGTGCTTTAGAAATATTTTGCATGACAACATTGTGGAATGCTTCGTGTTCTAGTTTGCATTAATAAATATAAGGTCTGCATTAGAATGTTTTTTGGTTGGATTATTAGATTTGTGCTTAAGAAATACTTGCATGCTTTGTTGAAGATGTTGTGTGCTTTAGGAGTTTTTATGGTATGCTTCGATTTGCATTAGGAGGTTATAGTCTTTCTCATGTCTCTGGTGTGCTGGAGGTTGCGGTCTTTCGTATGTTTTTAGTATTTTTAGTTTGGATTACGTTGTTTTTTTGTTTACGTTTGGAGGTGACTACTTTATGGTAGGCTTTGGTATGCATTAGAGGTTCTGGACTTTCTCATGTTTTTGGAGTGTTGGAGGATATTTGTCGTATGTTTTATAGTGTTTTTGGTTGGGGCCATGTTCTTTGTTTGTTTAAGTCCGGAGGTGTCTACTTTTCATTCTACGTGTTCTCGAATACATTGATTGCATAATTTTTAGTTTGCATTTTGTCTTGCAGAAAAGTTGTCTACAAATAATTGTGCAATAAATGAAAAGGGAAAGAAATTCCTTGCTGTCGAGAAGGAAAAATCAGAGAGAGCAAAACAGCCACCTAAGAAGAGAAAGTTGCAGAATGAAGATAATGAGGATGGATATCATCGGGAGCTGTGTAGACGTCGAAGAAGAGGAATCGATGCATCCCTAAAAGGGTCCTAAATATCAACAATTTTGAGAGCACGAATGACCAAAAGTTGGGACATCTTGATTCTCTTGGATTCAGGGATTTCTGATGACACTTTATTTATAGTGTTTATCACTTGCATTCTTGATACATTTGTCCTAAGACATCTTAGTCATTTCAATAGTATTTACTATCTAAATCACAACTATTTGAGACCTAGTTATGTTTTTGTACTCTTTGAGATGCCCTCTAGGTATGTTTTAGTGAGTTTTGAAGATATAAAACAACCTAAGGAAGATTGGATCAAGCATTGAAGAATTCAGAAGGACCTAAGGACCTATAAAGAGAAAAATATGTAGCTTTCGTGAGAAATATGAGGTCCAATTAGGGAGAATTCAACTAGAAGTTGTTAATAATCGCAAGAAAGTACATAGCAAGAAGACTTGACCTAAGTCGACGAAGAAACCAGCAGCGGCCCATCATCGGGTCCAACCGCCGCTGAGGAAGATGTGCACAAGACGAGCCCAATTCTCAAGGCTTAGTTATTCATGGGTCAGGGAACCCAACCCACGAAGACAAGTAGTAGCGGCCTTGATAGTTGCTATACCGCCGCCAAAACCCTAGCTCTATAGGAAGCTTCTCTAGCAAGCTACTTCGTCTAGAAGTTGATGAAAACTGACTTCAAGTCGGATATGGAAGGATGTGGCTGACTTTAGGAGAAAAATTCTCATTGTGCTCTCTCTCTTGTACTATAAATTGGTGCTTAGACTTCTGTTAGAAAGTACCTCTTTACAACTAAGAACTGTTGAAGCTCTGTCGGAGTGAGGAGAGAATGAGTCATTTTATTTTGTCTATCTAGCTAATTAAAAAGTGCCTAATCGACACATCACCAACAATATTATTATTATTATCCTTCTTTCCACGACAGTAAATTTTGGAAAATAAATATGAAACCCTAGATCAAAGTGACTTAATATTAAGTCACCACAATCTATAGAAGGGTACGTAAGATTTTTTCTACCAGAAGGAAAAAAATGACTTAGATGAAACAACGAAAAGGTAAGATAAAACACAAACTGAAACGGCCGGGTGACCAAAAATACGATCAAACTGGCACATCCAGCTTAGCTCTTCCTCATTTCGTAATGAAATCAGGTTTCGTCAAAAAAGCTTAGCTCAACTCAAGGCTACAATATCTCTTCCTGGATCAACCTTTTCCATAAAAGCACACATTATTCAATCAACCACCCTCCAGAACTGCATATTGCAGCCGGTGCCAAAAGATCCGCCGGTGATTGACATCTTGCAGCCCTCCATCGAGGCTTTGAGAGCCTTGAGGCAGTCCTTGCATCTGCCGGCGTCGTTGTTGTAACAAGTGGCCGCACCCGTAACGGAGCCAACCTTTTTGTTTGGGTACCAGGCCTTGAACATACGCGTGGAGGTGTAAGGCGCCCTCTTCACCAAAGCGTTCATCACCTTCTCCGCGTAGGAATAGTACTTCACCGGATCTTCCGGCGCACTGCTAGAGCAGTACTGCTGCGGAGTCTGCGCAACGGCGACGTCTAGGCTGATCGTCGTCAGATAACCAGCTACTACCAGCACGGCCATTACAGCTCTTTGCAGTGAACACTCCATATTTTACTACTGCTTTTCTGCTGCTTGTTTGTTGGTTGAATCACAGTTATGGGGCCACTGGCCGTTTTATACGTGTGCATTAATTAGGGCATCTGCTTCGTCCAGTTTTTTGCCCAGCAAATGGCGTTGCCGAACGGGAAGTGTGTGGAGTAGTTCTACTTTTTGATAGAACAACAAGATAAAGCCAAATGATGACTTAGAGTCGTATGGAGATCGTGTTAATTAAGCATATTTTTGTCTAAGTTATTGTTCCATATTCTACCATGTTGTTGTGGTTCGCATCCACACAGCCGACGTCAATTGTATTATACCTTTCATCTATACTTCAGGGAATGATCTTATCCTCACATATATATATATAAAATTCAGCTAGCGTTTCTATTTGTGTGTCTATCTTATCCTTCGGGCTGGATTTCAAGCATATAGGCATGTTAAAATGTAAATTAATTAATTCTAGTAAGACCCAGATGGTTTAAATAACACAAATTGTTGTAAAAAGTTTAATAATGGATTTCAAATTGTTTACACCTAAAAATAAATCTCATACCACATCGATTAATTATAAGGGATTTCATGGATTTATAAGCCCAGCTCAACATTAATCATTAAATGAGCTAGCTGGGTCTTATTAGGTTTTTGGGCCTAAGTGGCCAAGCCCCCTATCCCTGGCCTAGCGGTTGCCCGCGGCCATAGCCGGACAATGCCTCCACCCTCGTGGTATGAAATTTGCTCTGGTATCCATACATGAAATCTGGCTAAGTCTTGAGTCAATGGTTAAATTTGGCTAAGTATGAAATTCCATGGCAACAGGGGGGACACATGAAAATTGGTTAAGTATGTAGACCCAACAGCAAGGGGGGAGACAAGAGATCCAATACTTGGAGCAGAACTCACTTTGATTCTGCCGTAATGCAAGAGAGGTCAAGCGCCAAGCGTACCTTCAACGTCAGTCACCCAATTCAAGCATTATGTCAAGCATGATGTCATGCAAAGTGGGTCAAGCCATGGGTGTCGTGCAAGGATATCATCACAAGTAGCAGACATGTTATGCCTCATGGGTAGTTATGCATGGTACATAGTATACAAGGTCATTAAATTTCTAAGTGTCAGCCATGTATATCATCACATGGTAGACCACCTTGTCACGATCCTGCAAGCATGATGGCACCCCAAGGGGGTCAGTGTGCATCCATCAACCCCCAAGCATCAAAATATCAAGCATGACGTCATGTCAGTGTGCTTAGCATGAGTACCACCAAGCGTGAAGCCCTTACTCGCCAAGCAAGACACCTCTATGGCACAAAGGGGCTAGCTATCAAGTGAAGTCATCAAGGTGCAAGGTATCAAGTGGCAAGCACGCAAGACAGTCAAGGGATCAAGCAAGCTATGCCAAGCACCAAGCAGAGCAGCGGTTACCTAGAGACAGTTATGAGTGATGGCTATAAATAGGGGAAACGAAGACGAAGCAAGGTTCCACAACCAAACATTTGACGCACAATGTCAAAATTTATCTTTTCTCTGCAACTTACCTTTTAGTTTTTCGGAGCTCTCATTGAACGTCCATAGGAGTAGAGTAACGTAACTTAGCTTGTTCCCAAAAAAACCATCAAAAACATCAAACACCCTCGTTCGAACATTGTTCGGAGAGGAGTGAACCGTGTAATTATCGTTGTTCAAGAAGTCAAAGGTGCATTCATTGTGTTCAAACACCAGATTTTCCACGCCAGAAAACAAAAATGAAAGCAACTTAGAAGGGTTGAAATTTGCACATGATCATGTGATCATGTGTTTCACAATTGAGAACCTCAGGATTCTAACAGAATGTTGTCGAGCATTGCAAAGATGAGTGACCTTATGATAAGTCACCTTGATATGCATCCCAAGTAAAAAATCGTGAGGGTCTCTGTCTAAAGTGGACAATATCTTTATGTAAAAAAGGTTCGAGATGTTACAAGTGGAATCAAAACCTCTATGTGCCCCTCTTGAATGATGGTGTGATGGTGGGCCAAACTTCAACGAGGACGTTGAGTCTTAAGAGGGGGGGGGGGGGGTATGTAACACTTTGAGCGAATCACACATTGATAAATCACGTGAGAGATCCATGGTTTATAAGTAAGAAATTAATCGTAAACGACAAGATGCGTTCTTTGGTGTGAAATGAAGTTCTTTTGTGAGAATTCAAAAGTTAAACGTGCTTGCTGCAGACTGCAAGAATGGGTGACCTTATTAGCAGTCAACTTGATATGCATACCAAGTAAATTAAAAACCATAAAGATCTATGTCCAAAGTGGATAATATCTTGGTTGGAAAAAAGGTTCGGAATGTTTCAAGAAAGAGGTGAAAAATCTTTTTTAAAAATAAAATAAAAGAGAAGATAAAAAAAATTATTAATTATAATAAAACCGCTTGATAAAACGAGAAATCTGTTGAGCTTCCATTTGCCACGAGGACTCCCCTTGACCATCCAGTCGACCATTTGAACTTCCAGTAATACTAAGGGGATGTTTAGCGCTCTCGTAGGAGTACTGGTCACGAAGTCACATTCTACTGAGCCCGTACGTTCTACCGGGCAGTCCATAGATAATTCCAAACTCCTCTGGGATCGTATTTTTTCCATGACAGTAAAGTTCAGAAAACAAATATGAAGCCCTGGATCAAACTGACTAGAGGATATTTAACTTGGGCTTTAAGTCACCCCAATCCATGGAATGGTGCGTAACGTAAGATTGTCAATCCAGACAGTAACTCCAGCTACCAGTTGATATGACTTGAATCGAATTATCTACTATCGATTGGAAATTATGCGAGTTTTGCTGTAATTTGTATATGCTCAAGTATAATGAAATGGTTTTCTGTCTCTCTCCTGTCAATGAACTGGCCAACACATATTATTTTAGTGAACCATGTAAATCTGTCTACATGAACTTTTTACATTGCCGATTTTTCCCAATCCGTTCTAACATGAACTTTTCGAGCTGATGGATGGATCAGTCGTTCGCAAGAGCGCAATTCAATCAACGATCTTCCAGAACTGCATATTGCAGCCACCGCTAAAGGACCCGCCGGTGGTGGACATCTTGCAGCCGTCCAGCGAGGCTTTGAGACTATTCAGACAAGCACTGCATTTGCCGACGTCGTTGTGGTAACAAATGGCGGCACCGGCAACAGAACCTACTTTTCTGTACGGATACCAGGACTTGAACATATGTGCCGGGTGTGGAGGCGCTCTTGTAACCAAAATGTTCATCACCTTCTCCGCATTGGAAGAGTACGCCACCGGATCTTCCGGAACAACACTGGAGCAGTAACGCCGGGCAGGCTGCGCGACGGCGACAGTTAGGTAACCAGCCACTACCACCACCACGGCCATTACAGCCTTCCGCAGATCCATATTACTACTGATTATGAACTGCATGCTTTCCCTTTGTTATTTCTTTTTCGGTTAGGGGCCTCTGCCGCTATAAATATGTACATTACGGCATCTGATCATCATTAGCTTCTCCGTCCAGCAAATAGCGTTGCCGAAAGGGAAGTAATTTGATTGTATGGAATAAAAACATAAAGCCAAAAGATGGCATAGAGTCGTCTAGAGATTATATTGAGGTTATTTGTTTGGGTTATTATTGTTCCATATTCGACCATCTTTTTGGGGTGTCGCATGCACCCGGTCGACCGTCAATTATATTATACCTTTCACCGGTGATATAGGTACCTATACTTCAGGGTATGATCCCTCGGGGCTGGATTTCAAGCATATTGACTCGCAATTCGCAAATACCAACATCCTAAGTGTGTGATCAGTGGTGTAGCCAGACATCGAGTTTACTGGGATCCTTAAAAATTTACTAACACTAATGCTTGTGTACGTAGTGAATTTTGAGTTAACCGGGGTTCTTGATGAGCTAACATCGTTGAGACTATGGGGTCCTAAACTTAAATTATCGTACTAAAACCTATACATTTAAAGGGTTTTGTTGCCCAATTGTTTGCCAAGTGGGGTCCTAGGACCCCTCTCCTCCTTACCTCCCTCCGCCACTGACTGTGATCGTAACTCATGAATGCAGTATAGTGGGTTTAATTTTACTTATCAGCTCGAGTCCTAGATACGGACTACTCAGTGAATTATCTATTAACTAGCGGTCAAAGTGTAGAGAAGTGGTTTGCATGCAAAGCATAAATGAAATCAAGTAAATATTCTAATTTCCAAATTCTAGAAAGACCACTCAGGTAAGTGTCCCCCTAGTTTATAGTTAGGTCTAGTTGTAATTCACCAAATTCAATTCAGTTGATATTTACACGGCGAAAAATCCTTAGATAGTCTGGAATATCGATTAAAGCAGACTAGACCCTCTTGAATCGAATACCCGACAACATCTATCATCCACCGAAATAAACTACCAAGGAAATTCGAAAAGACTTCTTCTACTAGGTTTTAACTGCAGTACAAAACAGTGAATCAATTCTCTCTCGTGTAATCGATTCACTACCTCCAATTCAAGTTGTTCTATTCACCTATTCGGAGACTTTCATTCTAGATCAACAAATGTGATCAAGACTCATATAATTATAATAAATGCCACAATTGGATATAAAATCAACTGGCATGAAAATGGGTTCATACAACTCCTTCTAACATACAGATGTAGGGTTATTCATACCCAAGCGAAAGAGAAGCTTTGCTCCATGGAGAGAGGGAGGAACACAAAGCTGATGATGTTCATCATTGTGTACGCGAGTGAAATCTTCTCCAAATAAACAATCGGTACTCAAGGGGAAGGAATCGAGCTTCAATGGTCGTTAGTGGCTCAAATCAGCTCCTGATGGGTTGTTCTTCGTCTCTAGCTCTCTCTTTGGCTCTCTAGGTTCTTTCTCACAAGTCGAAAATTGGATCCTTGCAATTTTTCCCGATTATACCCTTTATGCTATGGAGATTCGCGAGTTACAAGTAGTGATGGCAATGGGGCGGGCGGGGCGGAACATGAGTTTGCAGCGGGGCATGCCGGCCCACTCTTACATGTAATTTGGAAAAAATACATGTGAACTTTTACTTTGTAGAATAAAACGAAGGAAAAAAACACTTTATGTACGAAAATAGTGGTAATAGAATGAGTAATTGAGTCTAAGTAGTTTAAAAATCAAGTCAAACTAGTTGAAGAAAAGTAAAAATAAGAGAAATGTGAATAGATAATATTAGAAAGTAAGATAGAATAGGCTAAGAACACGGCGAGGCAGGACAGTGGGAAGTAGATACCAGTGTCCTGCCTCGTCACAGGTCAGGTCGCGATAATACCAAGAATTACGGTCTTCTTTTGCCTCAAATCTACCCGCCCATCACAGGTACTAGCGGGACGAGTTCTAATTGCCATCCCTAGTTATGATCAAATTTATTGTTGTAACATACTTCCTCTGCCCGTAACTTGTGCCAAAACGCCACATTCAATCAACGATCATCCAGAAATGCATATTGCAGCAAGCGCTAAAGCATCCGCCGGTTATGGACTGCTTGCAGCCGTCCAGCGTGTCCTTGAGAGCCTCCAGACAAGCCCTGCATTTGTGGGCGTTGTTGTTGTAACAAGTGGCGGCGCCCACAACCGAACCTACTTCATTGTCTGGATACCAGTGTCAAGCTCCATGGACAAGGAAGAAGATGAAGACGAAGTTGAATCCCCTGTTCTACAACGGTCAAGTGAAGAAGGAGGGAAAGTTAGAACGCAGCGTTTTACAACAGAAAGGAAAGGCAGAGAGAAGAGTAAACGATAGCGTTTTTGTTCATACGTTGTACAACTTTAGTGTTTCGTTGTTATTAGCTGTAGCTAGTACGAGATAGCCACTTGTCCAATTTTAGATGGATGAGACGGTTATTGGTAGTTTGTCCTGTAGCTCGTTTTACTCTGTACATATACTGCAGCTTTGCTGCCAAAAGGTAATGAGAAATCATTCCACAAAAACCTCTCGTCTCTCAATTATTCTCATGGTATCAGAGCCTCTGGCTTACCTCATTTAGGGTTTGGTGACCTTTAAGACGCCGTCATGTCAACCAACCAAGATGAAACTTCTTCTACAATGGCTGGAGCAACAGCAACAGCAGCTAATCAACGACAACGCCAAGCAGTCGATCCTTACTACGTCAACCCGAATGAAAACCTGTCTCAAGGTATCATTTCTATTAAGCTTGATGGAACCAACTACCATGTATGGAGTAGATCAATGCGAATAGCACTTAAAACCAAGAAGAAACTTGGATTTGTTAATGGAACCTTACCTATGCCTCAACCGACAGAACCAGATTATGAAATCTGGGATCAGAGTAACACCAATGTGATGGGTTGGATTCTGAACTCACTAATTGATTCTATAGCTGAGGCTGTAATGGACAATGAAACAGCTCAAGATCTGTGGAAAGACCTGCAGGAAAGATATGGAGAAGTAGATTCCATTAGATTAGCTCATGTTAAAGGGCTTATTTCATCATGCAAGCAGGATAAGAGTACCGTGACTGACTATTACAATAGATTGGGTGTGTTATGGACAGAATATATGTCATTCAAATCAATTCCACCATGTGAATGTGGAGGTACAGCTCATACTATGAATTGTGCTACTTATGCTGCTGTTAAGGAATCACAGGAACAGGATCACACCATAGATTTCATCATTGGTCTAAGTGATTCGTTTGAAATGACCAAGAATCAGCTACTTATGATGGATCCAGCTCCAAATCTCAAGATGGCATACAAGTATGCACTCAAACTGGAAAGACAGATGGCCAAACAACCAACTAAGGAAGTCACAGGAGTGGATTCAGTAGCATTGGCTGCAATGAATCAAACAAGGAATAGAGAACAAAGAACTGAGTATCCAAGAGGTGGAAGACAGAACACCTATCCAGGAAACTATCCAAACAATCAATCAAGAGGGAACACTGAAACAAGTGGAGGTGGACAACAAAATCTGTTTTGCAACTACTGCAAGAAGACCAATCATGTAATAGCAGACTGCTGGAGACTTAAGAGAAAGAGGGGAGAATTGGCAGGACCAAATTTTGCTGCAGCAGCCACTTCTAGTGGCAGTCATGAGCAAGGAAGTTCTAACTTCCCAGTTGGAACTGAACAGGACAGCAGGAACCAAAGTACCACCACCACACTACAGCTCACAGCTAAGGACTGCAGTAGATTGATGATGCTGCTACAACAAAACACAGGAGGTCAGACAACAAATCAGCCAAATCTGCAGCCTCAAGCTCATTCAGTGACAAGGCACATCAATCAGATGCCAGACAATGCAGGTAAATTCATCTTATCCACATTTACTGCTTGTCAACAGAAAGAATTGTTGAATAATTGGATTATTGACACTGGTGCATCTGATCATATGTGCTGTAGCCTTTCCCTTTTCACATCACACCATCCTGTTGATAACCTTTTTGTTACCTTACCTACCAGTGCTAGAATTCCAGTAGCACACATAGGAACTGTGAGAATCAACCATAACCTTACCCTGAACAATGTCTTGCACATTCCCAGCTTCACTTTCAATCTCATCTCTGTTAGTTCCTTAACCAACACTCTACCAATCACCCTAAACTTTCAGTCTGACTTCTGTGTTGTTCAGGACCTTCATACACAGAAGAAGATTGGTTTTGCAAGAGAGCTTAGATGATTATATCAACTCCAAACATCCATTTCCAATCCTGAACCAACAATCAACCTAGTGGCAGCATTCAACAGAACTGAGAGTGAAGAAACACATCTATGGCATGCTAGATTGGGACACTTGTCTAACTCTAGAACCAAGTTATTTCAAAGATGTAATCCTACATTACCAGTGAATGTTGTTGATCACTGTGAAATTTGTCATTTTTCTAGACAAAAGAAACTTCCATTTCCTTCAAGCTCACATAGCAGCAAAGAACCTTTTGAGATTATACACTGTGATATCTGGGGCCCTCTTAGTACTACTTCATATGATGGTTTTTCATACTTCTTAACCATTGTAGATGATTTTTCACGAGCTGTTTGGACCTACCTCATGAAAACCAAATCTGAAACCAGACCCTTCCTACAACAGTTTTGCACCATGATTCATAAACAGTTTGACAAATCAGTTAAAACCATCAGAACAGATCAAGGAAAGGAATTTCATATGACTGAATTCTTTAGAGATCATGGCATCTCCCATCAGATGTCATGTGTAGAGAGGCAACAACAAAATGGTCGAGTAGAAAGGAAACATCAGGACATTTTAAACACTGCTAGAGCCCTGAGATTCCAATCAAATGTCCCTTTAACCTTTTGGAGTGATTGTGTCCTTTATGCTGTTCATATCTTGAACAGACTCCCTACACCTATCCTAGACAACAAGACACCCTATGAAAAACTCTATAACAAACCACCTGACTATACACCACTTAGAGTGTTTGGTTCCCTGTGTTATGCTGCTACACTAGAGTCAGGGAGAACAAAGTTCCAAGCCAGAGCTAGGAAGGGCATATTCCTTGGCATTCTGCCAGGAATTAAAGGATACAAATTTTTTGATTTGACCACCAAGCAAGTCTTTGCCTCAAGAGATGTTTCTTTTAATGAAACAATCTTTCCTTTTGCCCCATCTACCATTTCACAACCATCAACACCATCTCCATTAGCCACTAGCACTCCTCCTTCTGCTCCTTCCTTTTTGCCCTCTTATCCTCACCATCACACCCAGCACATGATCATTTGCATACAGGTCATGATTCAAATATTCATACTGTTCCTACTGAACCACAGTCACATGGTTTCATTCCCTTTGAAACCATGGATGACCCTACTGCTGAGTTCCAAAGTGAAGAAGAAGCAGAAGGAGAAGGGGGGACTGACCTTGCACATCAACCTACTCAATCACCTATTCCTTTAAGGAAATCTGACAGGACAAGTCATCCTCCCTTATGGCATCAAGACTACTTTGTTGGAACTTCTCAGAGCAAGTATCCAATGTCTTCCTACATGAATTATTCACAGCTCAGTCAACAACAAAAACACTATTCACTTGCAGTTACTAATCTGCAAGATCCACAGACATTTGATGAAGCAATGAAGGAGGAATGGTGGAGAGAAGCAGTTAGAGAAGAGTTAAGAGCACTGATTGCTAATCATACATGGGATATAGTGGATTGCCCAGTTGGAAAGAAACTAATAGGAAACAAATGGATCTTCAAGACTAAACTGTTAGCAGATGGTGCAATCGAAAGGTACAAGGCAAGACTTGTAGCTCAAGGATTTACTCAAATACCAGGAATTGATTTCCTGGATACCTTCTCTCCAGTAGCAAAAATCAACACCATCAAAATACTCATGGCAGTTGCTGCTGTCAAGGATTGGCATTTAAGTCAAATGGACATCAGCAATGCTTTTCTCAATGGAGACCTAGAAGAAGAAGTCTACATGAAAATACCCCAGGGAATTGAAGGAATGGAAGGTAAGGCCTGCAGACTAAGGAAATCCCTCTATGGTTTGAAACAAGCTAGCAGGCAATGGTATGCCAAGCTAACTGAAGCATTGATTAGCTTTGGCTTTACACAATCCTATTCTGATTATTCACTCTTCACAAAGAAGAATGATAAAGGAATTGCAGTGGTTCTAGTATATGTGGATGACCTCATCTTTTCTGGAGACAATGAGGAGCTCATTCAAGAGGCTAAAGACTTTCTGTCCAGGCAGTTCAAAGTAAGAGACCTTGGGAAGTTAAAATACTTCCTAGGGCTCGAAGTAGCAAGAAGCAGCAGTGGAATCTCGATTACTCAAAGGAAGTATTGTTTAGACTTGTTAAATGATACAGGCTTTCTCAATGGGAAACCAAGCAAGACACCATCAGACATGAAGACTAGGCTGTCACAATGCAGTGATGAGCCATATAAAGATCCACATCAATACAAGTCACTAATCGGAAGGTTGGGATACCTAACAACTACAAGACCTGACATAGCCTTTGCTGTTTAGCAACTATGTCAGTTTCAAGCTCAACCAAAAGCTTCTCATCTGAGAGCAGCACACAGAATACTGAGGTATCTCAAAGGCACCCCAGGCCAAGGATTATTCTTTGCATCAAACACATATTTCAACCTAAGAGGCTATACAGATTCAGACTGGGGGGCATGTCCTGATACAAGAAGATCGATCAGGGGCTACTGCACATTTCTAGGGAGTTCATTGATCACCTGGAAAGCAAAGAAGCAAGCAATAGTTTCCAAATCCTCCTCGGAGGCAGAGTACAGGGCATTATCACAAATGTCTTGTGAAATCTAATGGATCACACAGGTGTTGAAAGATCTAAGAATTGAACACGAAGGACCAGCAACGGCATACTGTGACAACAAATCAGCGATCCATATGGCAGAAAACCCAGTGTTCCACGAAAGAACTAAGCACATAGAGATCGACTGCCACATCATAAGAGAAAGGGTAAAATCAGGTCTGATAGATTTGAGGTATGTGTGTACTGACCGAAATCTGGCTGACATTTTTACGAAAGGACTCAGTGCACACCGCTTCAAATGGATTGTGTTCAAGCTGGGAGTATATGACATATACTCGCCAGCTTGTGGGGGGCTGTCAAGCTCCATGGACAAGGAAGAAGATGAAGACGAAGTTGAATCCCCTGTTCTGCAACGGTCAAGTGAAGAAGGAGGGAAAGTTAGAACGCAGCGTTTTACAACAGAAAGGAAAGGCAGAGAGAAGAGTAAACGATAGCGTTTTTGTTCATACGTAGTACAGCTTTAGTGTTTCGTTGTTATTAGCTGTAGCTAGTACGAGATAGCCACTTGTCCAATTTTAGATGGATGAGACGGTTATTGGTAGTTTGTCTTGTAGCTCGTTTTACTCTGTACATATACTGCAGCTTTGCTGCCAAAAGGTAATGAGAAATCATTCCACAAAAACCTCTCGTCTCTCAATTATTCTCAACCAGGCCTTGAACATGTGTGTCCACGAATAAGGCGCTCTCTTCACCAAATTGCTCATCACCTTCTCTGCGTTGGAATAGTACTTCGCCGGATCTTCCGCCGCATGACTACTGGAGCAATAGTGGAGGGCAGGCGGCTTCGCGACGGCGACGTTCCGGCTGATCATCGTTAGATAACTAGCGGCTACCAGCACGGCCGTGACAGCTCGCCGCCGTGAATAAGTAGCAGGGAGATTGCTCCATGATGATGATGACGACGAGCAGTCCATAATATTACTGATAATGAAGTGTTCTTTTTTTTTTTCTTTTTATGTTAAGGCGTCTCTGCCGTTTTATATATGTGATTATTAGGTTCTCCGTCCAGTTTTTTCCCTGGGAAATGGCGTTGCCGAATGGTAAGTAGTTTGATTTTGATAGAACGAAAACATAAAAGCCAAATGACTACTTAGAGTCGTCTTGAACAAAAACATATTTGTCTAAGTTATTGTTCCACATTCGGCCATATATCTTGTTGCGGTTCGCAAGCAATCGGCCGAAGTGAAATATACGGAATGCTCTTACCCTTATAATTTATTTCTGTAAATGTATATAGGGTAGAGGTGGCAATTGGATCGAATTCAATGGATTGGTGGATTTAAGGATTGGATCAAATGGATTGGATCCAATGGATTGATGGATTCATGGATTGGATCAAATGGATTGGTGGATTGATCCATGAATCCAAATGACATCCAAGGCTTGGACCAAAATGTAATTTTTGAAAAGTTTAGGTACTAAAATGTCATGATGAAAAATTTTAGGTACCAAAATGTAATTTTCCAATGTAATTTTTTGTATAAAAATATAAATTTTAGGTACCAAAATGTAAAATATAAAAATATAGGTACCAAATCGTAATTTGTCATTTGGATCCATGGATTGATCCATGAGTTCACCAATCCAATTGGATTTGGATCAAATGGATTGGATTATGTGGATAATTTGGTGGATGGATTGGATTGAATTCATGGATTTGGATCCTAATTGCCACCTCTAATATAGGGTGTAGAGGTGTCGGCCGTCTAGTAGGATGCATGATCTTTAATTATACACAAAAACTAGCTCTTTTTGGCTATGCAGGGTCGGTAAAAAACTAATAATTTAGTTTTAATAATTATAGATAGTTATGATATAATTTTTTATTATAAATTGTGGGCTAAAAATAAACTCAAATTATAGATAGTAAGTAATATTAATGAATTTATAATTTTTGTAATTGTTATAAAATTGTGTTACATAAACTATTTTATAATATGTTGTCTAATAATAAAATAAAATTTTAGAAAGTAACACGAAAGTAATATATGACTAAACTGTTATATCAAAGCTACCAATCTAGAACTTATAGTAAAATTGGATGTAGGACGAAAGAACTATTATAGAACATTTTTATATAATGTGTGGTCTAATGATAAAATCAAAATTTAGAAAGTAAAGTATGATTAGACTGGTTGAATATTCTAGTTGAAAATAATAGAATTTTTGTTAGTAGTAAAGGAATAATTAAATATTGTTCATATTATTTGATAATAAATATTGAAAATAAAGGAAATTTAAATTGTCCCGGTTGTAATTGGAACTCGAATTGCAATTTACCCCAATCCAGTTTGCGGTTGCAATGTTCACATCCCGATCTGATTCGGTTAAAACCGAGAAAATCGGATAGCCCAACTTCAACCCATCCCATCTCCCGCAATAACTTAGGCTCGAGCCCAACTACAGGCCACACCAACCCTGCCCAAATCACCAAAGCCTATCTACACAACCCTAAATCGTCAAACCCTCTATGGTATATATAGGAGTTTTACGAAGAGTAACTTGTAACTTGTAGCTTGTATTATTATGAAACCACAAAAAGGGGTTTATATAGATTACAAGACTTGGACAATAAGTAAGAGAACAACAATACTAGAAAGACACGGAAACATTAAGAACTATACTAAAAGATAAGAAAATATAACATTATTCCTAATCTATCTCAACAATTGGTATTAAACCGCAATTCTTGACATAAAATCACAAGTTCCTGGTGCTTCAAACTAGATAGATACCAATTATTAGGTGATCTTACACAATCCCTTCTACGAGGAGAAGTTTTATTAAAAGGACTTGGAAGATGGAGAAACTAAACTAAAAAACAAACCCAACTCATAATTACAATCATGAGTTGGGCCGTCCTCGTTTGTCAACAAATCAGTTACTATCATGAATTGGCCAGTACTCCATGTTGCAGTTGGCTCCAAAGAAGGCTCCAGTCGTATGAGCCGCCGTGCAACGCTGTTTCAGCTCCAAGTGAGCATTCCGGAGACAGGTTTTGCAGGCTTCCGCGTTGTACTTGTAACACGACGCCGTTCCCGCGGGGTAACCGGGTTTGTAATCTGGATACCATGTCCTGTAAAGCATTTCCGAGCTGGTCGGCGTAGCTGTCGCCAACAGCGACAGTACCATCTCCACATTAGACGGGTAGCTGTCGTTTCTCGGGGCGACGCCGCCGCAGCTCGTGTAGCCCACAGCCGCAGGCGCCATTCCAACGACCGTTATTATTGCTGTGAGAAATAGTAATGCACTGAGATAAGAGCAACCCATGATATCTGTAGGCCGTTCTTGCACTTAATGATAGTTGCTACTATTTTTTTCCTTTCTTTCTTGTACCTTTGTTTTAGGCTGTGTGTTTTAGGTGTCCTTCCTTTGGTCTCCTTTTATATAGTGGCCAGCTTGTCAAATCTGAGGAAGACGTGAAATTTGATTGCCACGGCCGGCAATAATGGAAGCCGGAGCTCAGAAGATTACGTGGGCGGTCCATCGCATGTCACTGGGGACTGCTGGCCGGCAGTGGTGGAAGATTACGGGGGTTGAATTCGGCGTTTGAAGAGCAAATTACTGATTCGTTGCGCAACTAAGGTGATAAGTTTATCGAGTGATAGTGTCTGTTGGAATTGAAATGCTCGCTGGCTTGGCAAATCTAGGTAGGGTGGATAACTTCTATTACTATACATTTTTGTACCAATTGCGCGATGCCTGGTGTAGTCCGTAGAGAGACTTACGCAGACGACAAACGCGATTATCACCCGGTTTAGAAAACCCCTGTGGTAATTTCATGTAGACCTCCTCATCGAGTTCACCATGGAGGAAGGCGTTATTCACGTCTAGCTGATGGAGAGACCATCCCTTCTGAGCTGCGACGGCAAGGAGGACACAAACTGTGACCAATTTCGCAACAGGAGCAAACGTGTCATGGAAGTCGATGCCTTAAACCCCTTCGCGACAAGAAGAGCCTTATAGCGCTCAACAGTACCATCCGGCTTGTACTTAATTTTGTAAACCCACTTGGAGTCAATGACGTGCTTTCCCGTAGGAAAAAGCTCGAGTGTCCAATTACCATTGTCCTCCAAAGCATCGATCTCTCGTTGCATAGCATCGCGCCAGTGTTGGTAGTGGGCAGCTAGAGAGAAGTGTCGAGGCTCAACGTACGACGCCATGGCAGCCAAAAAAGTACTATAGTTAGCCGAGAAACGTTGATAGCCAACATAGTTGGAAATGGGAAACTGAACGTAATGAGAGGAGGAGCCGGGTAAATGGACCTCATAAGGAGCAAGATAGCCGGGTGGATGCCTGTTCCGATCAGGGTTGCGGCGAGGCGGAACGGGATGTGGAGACACGACGGGCTCCGTCGAATGCGCCAAGTGCTCCTCATTGGAGGTGAGGACGTCCACTGTTACGTTGGGGGCAGCAGAGGGTGCCAGCTGCTGGCCATCATGAAATGGCGGCGAGGGAATGGACTGGGGCTGCTGGTCATCATGAAGTGGCGGCGAGGGAATGGACTGGGGAGGAGAACCCATGCCGACATGATCGAGAGTCTCATCATCAGTAGCAAATGCCTCCCCCTCATCGCAAGCAGTATGCATGGTGTGCATGGATATATCATGCACGTCCACTTGATATGGGAAGGGAGATTTAGGCGGCAGGTATGTGGACTCAAGGGAGTGATCATGAGGAGATGGATCACGAAAGGGAAAAAGAGTGCTCCACAAAGTGCACATCACGAGAAACCAATACCTTGCGAGCTTGTAGATCATAGATCCGATACCCCTTCTGATTCCCGGGATACCCAATGAAGATGCCAGGTCTCCCCCTATCGGCGAATTTGTCAAGCCCATGGTGCGTGTCCTTGGCATAAGCGAGGCAACCAAAAGTTCGCAAATGAGAGTAAGTCGGAGGGTGCCCAAGGAGGAGCTCGAAAGGGGTCTTCATGGAGATGACCGGAGACAGCATGCGGTTGATCAAGTATGCAGCAGTGACCACGCAATCACCCCAAAACCGCACAGGAAGGCCATCATGAAATAAAAGGGCGCGAGCCGTCTCTCGGAGGTGACGATGCTTGCGCTCGACGACTCCGTTCTGCTGGGGAGTGTCAGTGCAGGTGGTCTGGAGAATGATACCTTTCTCCTCGTAGTACTGCCGAAGGGAAGTGGTCTGAAACTCGAGGCCATTATCAGCCTGTATGCGCCGGACAGTCTTCCCATACTGAGTTTGAGCCAACTCACAGTGCATCTTCACATAACTTTCAGCATCAGACTTGAATTTCATAAGGTAAACCCAAGTGGAACGACTGTAATCATCAACAATGGTGAGAAAAAACCGCGAACCATCAAGTGCAGGAGTACGATACGGCCCCCATATATCGAGATGTAAAAGATCAAAACAAGAAGAAGTTTTGATTGAGTTAGAAGAAAAAGGGTTCCGTGTCTGTTTAGCACGTAAACAAGAATCACAATGAGAAGAGTGTCGAGAATCCAAACTACAACCGAGAGAATCCCTTAACAAAACAAGTCTATCAAATGAAATGTGTCCCAAGCGAGTATGCCATAGGCATGCAGCCTCCACTGTGGTCACCACCTTGCAAGCTTGGGGAGAAAATCCACCAGGGAATCGACTGAAGTAATAGAGGCCATCCCACAGTCTACCTACGCCAATCAGCGTCCTAGAAGGTAAGGCCTGAATCACGCAAAAGTCATGAATAAATACCACCACAACATTATGATCACAGGTCAAACGACTGACGGACAACATGTTACACTTGAAACCAGGAACATGGAGAACACGTTTTAGCTTAAGAGAATCTGACAACTGAACAGAACCAATCCCATGAACCGGAATAGCCGAACCATCCAAAATTTGCACTTTAGATAACCCTGTCACAGTATCGATAGCATCCAACCAACGCGCATCCCTGACTATATGCTCGTTGCAACCAGAATCAATTAACCACTCATAAAGGTCAGGATGATTACCCGCCATGTGTGCCGTAGAGTTCGACGTAGTCTCGGGCTGCGAAGAAGACAAGAACAGCTTCAATTGAGCAAACCTGAGCCCCCGTGAGACCAGGGATCGGGCTCCCGCTGCTGGCGTTTGTTATCTCAAGCTCAACGTGAGCTGCTTGAGGCCGACGTTGACTGGGCATGCCCCTTTCTTCATTCTGCTTAGCACGTGGGTGTCCAGGAGGGAGCCCTATTAGGCGGTAGCACAATTCCCTTGTGTGGCCAAGCTTATTGCAATTAGTGCACCTAGGTTTGTCTGATTCCTCCTTCGGCCCCTTCTCTGTCTGCACCTGGAACGCGGCCGTATTGACGGCACGGCGGCGTCCATTGGTAATGAGACAATGTTGCTCTTCTGCAGCAACAATTTGGTACGCCTCATTGAGAGTGGGAACATGCTTTGTGCTAAGGATCTGTGATCGAACGACGACGTAGCCATCTTCCAAAACCAAGCAAAAACTCGAACAGTCGTTCGGTTTCTTGCTTCACATGATGTTGCATCAACAAATCACAACTGCAGCCTCCGCAGGTACAACCATTACACACACACTTCGGCACGCCTCCAACTACATCCATCTCATCCCAGTACTCGTGGAGCATGGTGTAAAAGGCAGAGACAGATAACTTTTCTTTACGAAGCGAGCTGAGCGTGCGGCGGATTTTGTAAGCCCGCTGAGAAGACCCATGACTGAACCGCTTTTGTAAGTCCACCCAAATAGCACGGGCCGTCGTTGCCATACGCACGCTGTTCCTTACCTCACGCGTCATAGTCGTCTTGAGCCAGCCCTTAATGGTGGCATCACATCTGTCCCAGGCTTCTTGACGACACGGAGTTCCTGGCTTGGCCGCGGCAATGTGCCGTCATCAATGGCCATTTTATTTTAGGCCACAAGAGTCTCAGTAATATCGTTGACCCACTCTCCATAATTGAGATCCGTGAGCAAATCACTACCGAAGAGCTGTGCCGGGTTCTCAGAGGGATGGAGGTAAAGAGGCGAACTGATCGGAATAACCTCATCGTCGATAGTGCCGCCCGATTTGCTGCCGATAGTCTCCTCATCCTTGCCCATGATGAAGAAAACCTAATAGTTGTATCTCACTGCTCTGATACCATGTAAAATAAACTAAACGCGGAAAAGAAAGAACACTCGGTTTACGTGGTATCCCCGGAAGCCGGGACTAATCCACGGTGAGCAAAGCTCTCAGGCTGAAGTTTCACTATGTGATGAAGAGTACAATTGCAATCCCTCTCTTAGGGTTGCCGAGATCGGCCACAACCCTTATATACCCAACTACATGCAACGTGGGTAATAGGGAGAATTACATAATGAACCCCAAAACAACATGAAACGGACAACCAGGTCCAATAGTTTCAGATGCCGCACAACGTATCATCGAAAAATACATGTTATCGTAGAGCTAGGTTTGGTGAGGTGTATGATAATGAGTATGGTTTGTTTAGGGTAAAATCAAAATTTAAGTGTGGGGTTATTTGATTACATATAAATTAGGGACTTTATATAGTAACTTGGGTATAATTTTAAGTTAGATAACTTGTACGAATTTATACCATTAATATAGAAAAATCAATTTAGACCATTGATTAGCAAAACAATGGTAACCACTAACAAATAGCGCAGGTCATCACTTATTGACGTTTAACAATTGTTACGTAAAATACATCCATATTACATAAAGGTTACGGAACGACAGTTGTTTCATAAGTAACTACTTAAATCAAAAGTGTTACGTAAGGCTTCCGTAGTGCTGGAGAAGTGAGAGAGCAGAGAAGGAAGGCGTTAAATAGTTAATGTTCCCCATAGGTCTCCTAGTAATGGTATTGTCATTATCCAGGTTATGTCTTGCCATTCTTAAGAGAACTAGCTTACCGCACACCGAAAGGCACGTTCTTCCCGAATTGTATGTGTCATGTCACACAACTTGGTGTGCGTATTGTTCTGAAATAACAATGTACGTCATCTCGACATAGGCGTGTAAACATGTCAATATACTCGGCTAGGCGAACTCGCATAAGCACGTCATTCTATAACCTTGGATCACAACCTCGATATCTGGCACATACGAGCTGCCTGATTTCTTATCTCGTTAGATCCCACCTTGTGTTGAAGGATTTATCTGAACTAATGGGTGACAACGGCCCCTCGGATTTCTCCCTTGAGGTGCCACGCCATTTGATAAAATGAGGTTTGATCGAGTAAAACTGCTATTTCTAGTCCCATCTTAAATGACTAGGGTTTCGATCCTTGCACATCGAAAAGAGTACAAGGTCGACTAAGCAATCATCCGAATAAAAAAATAACGAAATAGCAATCAAACATCAACACATACGAATA